GAGACAAGGTTTAATGCTTCTGTGACCACCGTGTTTGTCCAAGAGGCTCGTGGCACAGTGGTTAAACTGCTGTACTGCAGCCAAAACTGTGTTCACGACCTGGGGTTCAATCCCAGGTAGCTGGCTCAAGGTTGACTCAGCCTTCTGTCCTTCCCTGGGGGGGGGGAAATGTGTAGCTTGCATAATTCACTTGTAAACCGCCCAGAGAGTGTTTGAAGCACTATGGGGCGGTATATAAGCAGCACCTTTGCTGAGAAAAACAAGACAGGATGTTATATTAATTTTTGCTTGAAAAAAAGCATTAGGGCTTATTTTCAGGGGATGTTTTTTTTCATGTACAACCATCTACATTTATTCAAATACAATCATATCATCTGGTTGCTGCACAATGGAAGAGGGCAGGGTTTCACTTAACTAGGGCTTATTTTTGGGGTAGGGCTTATACTATGAGGATCCTGAAAAATCATATTAGGGCTTATTTTCAGGTTAGGTAGGGTAGATATGTTCTTGAAATCCAACCCTGATATGGTTGTCAGCCTTGTATGTGGGGAAATGATATGGCTTTTATAAAAAGAGCTGTTGTTTTGCTGAGGCACTTTGCTCTGTCTTGACACATGGAGCAAAGTGGAGAATTTGTCTGGTGTCCCAGATTTTTAGAAGGGCTGAAATGCTGCTGTGGAATTGCCTATGTATAGTTTTATTTATTTATTTATTTATTTTTATTTATTTATTTATTTATTTATTTATTTATACATCCCCCGCCTATCTGGCACACCAGATAGTGCTTCAAACACTATTTATTTATCAGCTACATAAGTATTGTTCTTCAGGTATGCTTTAGCAAAGGAACTGGATCTGCTCTTGCTCTGCTCAACTGTCAGCAATGTTTTTTCTTTCATTGGTTTATCTGTGCTTCCCTTCTGTTTTCCTTGGCAGCTATAGCTACTTCTCATTCCCCAGTTTCTCAAAAGTGACACATCCTTTATTTAAATGTGTTGTTTATGTGGGGGAAGGTATAAACCTCACATCATTAATTTTGTCAGTACTCCTAATAAAATTGGATGTCCAAGCTGTTTTTCAGTTCCTTCAGCTTGTTGACCCTCAAAGGTGTTTTCCTGGTGGTGATCTCTTTTCCCTCTCAAGACTTTCCTTACATTTGTCTTCTTTAGAAAGAAGGTTGTACCATGACGAAATATAATCTACTGAATGAAAATTGTGTCCATAACAGAAAGGCCATAATTTTTCCAACATTCCTCCCAGATCTTGCTTCACCAACTGAGGATTCCTTGAACTCACTGGACATAAGGCACACTACAGTATTATATTTTACCTTGGCTTTGTATCATAACTCCCAGAAAGCTTTTTGTTTGCTATAATATAGTAAAATAGTAAAACCAAGAAAAGTGTATCGGTCTCTTTTCAATGGTTGTTTTTATGGATCACTACACTTTATCCTTGAATTGCATGTGTCTCAGCAGCATGATTATGGACAGATTGTCTGGTGTCCCATGGATATATATACATATTTGCAATGGATAGATAGATATTTCAAAAACAAACAAACAAGTACTGTGCTGCTGTTTGTCTCCAGAAAGTGGCTTGAGAAAAGTGGGTCTTGGACTTACTGAGACTCCTGTTGCTAGCAGAGTAGTGCTCCCCCCCGGTCCAATGGTACCAGCACAGCCGGCCCCCTCCTCTGGCATAGTGACTTCACAAAATGACCATGGAGGGTGCTGGGGCGTGCTAAGAGGGCTGGTATGGGTTAGGAGAGGTCTGTATGTGTTGGTGTGAATTAACTGTTTATACTTTATAGTTATTTTTTTGGGGGGGGCATAAAATTATACATGTATTTTGAACTTCATGGGGATCCAGCACCCCTAATCTCAGTGTTGTTGAAGGGAGAAGTGTATTAGTATGAGGCTGAGTTATGAATGCTTTAGTCTCCCATGACTGTCTTCATTGTAAGAATATACAATGTATATTCATCCAATGAAGACAGTTTTTTAACTGTGGTGATATTTCTTTCTTTTTTTAAAATACCTGTATATTTTTACTAATTTTCATAGGGATAGGCGTTATGGTACAAATAGGCGTGCAGATAAGAGGGAGGGAAAGGTAAGAAAGGGTAAATTTCCAGAGAGTGAAAAGTACGGTATTCTTACATCTGCTTATTGTTGTTGTTGTTTAGTCATTAAGTCGTGTCCGACTCTTTGTGACACCATGGACCAGAGCACGCCAGGCCCTCCTGTCTTCCACTGCCTCCCGGAATTGGGTCAAATTCATATTGGTAGCTTTGATGACACTGTCCAACCATCTCATCCTCTGTCGTCCCCTTCTCCTCTTGCCCTCACATTTTCCCAACATCAGGATCTTTTCCAGGGAGTCTTCTCTTCTCATGAGATGGCCAAAGTATTGGAGCCTCAGCTTCAGGATCTGTCCTTCCAGTGAGCACTTAGGGTTGATTTCCTTCAAAATTGATAGGTTTGTTCTCTTTGCAGTCCAGGGGACTCTCAAGAGTCTCCTCCAGCACCACAATTCAAAAGCATCAATTCTTCGGCGGTCAGCCTTCTTTATGGTCCAGCTCTCACTTCCATATATGGTCCAGCTCTCACATTCGCTTATACAATTGTATTAAAAATGGAAATCATGCAAAGAGAAAGAAAACATTATAACACTTTTCCAAAGTATTTATCATTACTAATTTTCTATTTTCTTGGACTTTCTCTTTTTTTAATCTTTTTTACTAGTTTAATAGGTTTAATATTATTCTGCCATTTTATATCTATTGTTCTAAATTGCTCTATTGTTCTAAATCAAAGTTATAACCATTAATTTGTGTTTATGTTATCATATATTCTTTCACCATAAAATGCCTTCTTAGATTTAATGTTTATCTCCACTGCGCTATTTCCATATTCTAACCAATATTTTGTACCCCTCTTATCATGTCATCTTTCATTTTCCATCTTATGGACCATGCATCCATTCTCAAGAGCTTCATCTACTCCAGGTATTGTCTCCTTTGTTTCATCTCCCACAGCAGGTGTCCTATCATCTCGATTATTCTCTCTTTCATATTAAAGTTCAAAACTTTGTCATTTGCTGTTCTTCCGCTGTTGACATCTCCATAAGGGGGATTAACAAATTGGCTCTCTGCTGCATTGTATCTTCGCATTTTTCTTCTAGAACCTTCTGGGGTTTAAGAATAAAATTGTCTGTCTCTGTTTGTGGTTTTAAAAAATTGATTCCCTTAAGCAGTTTCACTTCTTTCTCCGTCTTCACTGTAAATTCCATTTGTGTCCCCACATTTTTAATTTGTTCAAATAGCTGATACATCTCTATTTTCATCTGGTGCAATCCGTTAAATATAATAGTTTATAGTTATATTGGCCTGCAAGAATGAGTTTCATTGTCGCAATAGAAACAAAGTTGTTTTTTCTCCGTCCCCCTTCCTCCTCATTTCCTTATGTTTCTCTGAGCCAAGCCTCAGATGAAGGGGCAGGGCGTGTTCCATGGTCTTGCCAGATATAGGTCTAGTCACTTTGGCAGATTACACCCAGTCTCTTCATTGTTTAGGTCCTTAACAATTCCATATGTAAAACAAGCCACTTCAAGTTTGGTCAAGATTATTTTTCCAAAATCCTTCTGTACTTTTCTGCTGTCTGTCTTGGGGCATTCACATCTCTGTGCCAAATATGGTGCACATTCAATTCTGCTTCCAGATTGTGACTTCAAAGAGAAGTGAATCCAGGAATCTCCCGGGCCTCCTCCCTTCTCAGTCAGATTCTGTTGCTTCAGACTTTCACTTCTAGTCAAAGTCCTCCCCCCCCCAAGTTTGGAGGGGTCGCAAACGAGTGGTCTTGGTCAATTTCAGGAGCCTCCTGAAATCCGACCAATCTTGCTATGACAAAGCCCCACTTCCTGTAGTGGTATTTCTTCATGGAGTATAATCTCAGATTTTCTCAGAATGACCATCTGATCTCAGTCATCTAGGTTCGTATAACACAGGTTGGATGTCACAGCATGGTGTGAAGCAACCATTGGCATTCTTCTCTTCTTACACACCTGCTGTGCAACTGGTAACTTCTAGCATGTTCATTAGTGGTATGTAGAATACAGAAATACCATGAACGGTTTGGTTTTACTTGTCCATAGTTCCTCAACTGTTCATTTGTGCATGCCCACAATTCACCTTTCTTATCTCTTATAAGTGCTTTTACCTGAGTATTTGGTTAAACTGCAGAAGCCTCTGTGCTGCAAGGTTGGAAGACCAGCAAGATCGTAAGATCAAATCCACGTGATGGAGTGAGCTCCCATCACTTGTCCCAGCTCCTGCCAACCTAGCAGTTTGAAAGCATGCAAATGCGAGTAGATAAATAGATACCATATCACAGTGGGAAGGTAACAGTGGTCCGTGTCTAGTCGTGCTGGCCACATGACCACGGAAACTGTCTTCGGACAAACACTGGCTCTGTGACTTGGAAACAGGGATGAGCACCGCAGCCTAGAGTCAGACATGACTGGACAAATTGTCAAGGGGAACCTTTACCTTACATGAGTATTCACATCAGTATGTGCCCACTATAGTGATGTTAAGAAATGGCTGGAAATGGGAAAACCACATTTGAGCATGCAGAGTTAAATGGGAACTCAATCAAAAAAGCTCAGCTCTAGAATGTTCTGGGCAAGACTGCACAAATGTAGAACCTATAGAGGCCAAAATGAAGAATTACAGTTGTAGGTGAGCAGCCTGTCCTTCCTTTTATGTTCTGATATGCATTTAATTTGCTTGTCGTCTTAAATTTCTCTGAATAATTCTTTTGTTTTTTTGAAATGTTATATAAGCCAATCAATAAAAGCTACCACTGGTACAACTTGGGTCTTCACAACTTAAACCTGAGATAAGTAGACAGTGCTCTTTCATCAATGGAAGAGCTCTTTGGTTAGCCCTTGCAGGAACATAATCATTCATGATTCTCTGATTCTGTGTTTTATTCTAGAACTTTCAGCAGTTGAGCCTATTGTCTTCCTTCGCCCTTTTCTGGAAGTTATCCGATCAGAAGATACTACAGGCCCCATCACTGGATTGGCCCTGACATCAGTAAATAAATTCCTTTCATATGCACTAATAGGTATGGTTGTAGAATAATTATTTTTATGTTCTTAATGTTCTTATCAACTAAAAGTTAACCTTGAGAAGAATATTGCTTTGATAAGAGATGCATTATCCAAGATCATTGGAAGTTTATAGTCAATACATTATTTTAGAAGCTGGGCACAGGGCTCTACTACTTTTCATTTTGAAAGCCTATGATGTGCTGCCATAGATGGTCAGATAATCAAATATCAAAGGATTTAGGTAGTTTGATATTCTGACCATTTAAATTTAAATGAAGTGAGACTGTCAGTGGGCAGAAAGGTTCCAGAAGACAAATGAATGGGCTGGTGTATTACTTCACATTTGCCCAATCAACATTGGTTTGATTTTGTACTTGTAATCTACATAAAATTCCTAGGGGTTTAAGTAGCTGTTCCATCCAAAGTCATTGCAAGATTCCTTCAAAGTATAATTTTAAGATGTTTTTCTTACAATAATTGCTTCAGCCAGAAAGGATTCTGGAGGGGACACTTTATTTTAGCAATGGTTCTGCAACCCGATCCATTATTTAAGGCAACTTCTTTAAAGCTTTTTGCGGAGATGTGTTCTGCCTTTCTGTCTATTTAAATGGAACGGCCTGAGCTTAAATTCAAAAAGAGTTATCAGGTGTTATCCAGATAGGACTTTCCAAGACTAGGAGGCTCAGAGCTGCTGTACTTTGTTTGGAAGTTTGCATTCCTTCCTTTCTTTATTTAAATTTTACCTCACCCATCTAGCGGCATGCCACTACTTTGGGTGGCTTACACAGATAAAAATATAAAAACATCAACCCCCAACCAAGAAATCACCACCCCTCCAAAAAGAAACCCCAACAGCAGCAGCAGCGATAAAACAAACGAACAACATAATAGGCAATTATGCAGAGAGAGTACCCAGAAAAGCTTCTCTGAAAATATGGGTTTGACTGGCTTTCCGAATGCTAGGTGGGAATGGGCTTGGCCTCCCTCTGTTGGCAATTCATTCCATAACGTGGCAGCCACCACTGAGAAGGCCAGATTCCTCGTCATAGATTTCTGGGCCTTCCTTGAGGTGGCAAACCGCAGCATCATCACTTGACTGGAGAAGGTAGAATGGGCAGACAATATCAAAAAGAGGCACTCTGACAAGCAATGAGGTCCCAAACTGTTAATATACACCTCTGGAGAGGGAATTAAAGAACTAAGGCTATGCCAACTGCTAGCTAGCAGAGATGTTTGGCAGAGTGGCTGCATTGGGAGCCATTCTAGTTGATACACAGGGTGTGAAGAAATTTATTCTTGCCTTTGGTGAAGACAAGCTGCTTTTACAGCATTGAAACAGTAAAGGATTCCCAGAACTTCCTTTGAGAGGTCTTGTCTTCACCACAGAACTGAGACAAGAGGCATGCTTTTTGTGTTGTGGTTTTCATGTTTAGTACAAAATATCTCTAGCATTTTTTTCTTAGTTAAGCTAAGCAGACACATAGCAATCATAAAGGGGCAGACTAAAGAAGAAGCAAGCAACCAATCTAGTGCTTCCGCTGTTAATAGTTAATAGTATTCATTCATTCATTCGTTTGTTTGTTTGTTTATTTATTTATTTATTTAATATCCTGCTTATCTAGTCAAACAACCACTCTAGGCGGCTTCCAACACATAAAACAACAATCTAACAAGATTACAATATGACAAAATTTTTAAACGGCAGTATAAACGAAGTATTAAATATGAAGTATCATAGTATTAATTTTTGCATACTTACAGAAATATTCAAACATTAATATAGTATCTCAAATGCATAAATTCTCTCTAAGACTTAAAAAAAATCTTGCTTGCTCATGGTAGACACTTTTTCATGTACTTTCTTGTTTATTGTCGGAGGCCTTACCAGGATTTAAATACTTGTTGATAAATCAGTATAAAATTCATCCTGTCTTTCTGGAAAAGAGGTCAAAAAGAGCTTATTCACTAGCTGAGCAAATCTGATTGAAGAGAATAAGATAATAGTATGTAGGGAGAATTGATATCACTAATGTAGGGATAGGCAACTTCCAGAGGCTTGAGAGCTAACTCCGAAGGCAGCAGGGCTGCACCTGCCCTCATTTCTGTGCTCCCTTTCACCATGTTTGCAATTGCTCCTGAGGTGTTCCAGGCCACAAAGAGAACTTTTTTCAGAACTGAGAATGACTTCTAGAAGACCTTTCCCCAATCAAAAACAGCTTGGGAGCAAGATTTTGAAATTGTCCTCCATGGAAACTAGAGGCTTGGAGGAGACTTTCTGAGTTAAGTTTTAAAAAAATAAAATAAAATTTTGAGTCAGGCAAAAAAACAAAAACAAAAAAAAAGAGTAATAAAGAAGACAGAAACATTGTGGCATCTTATTGAGTAATTGCTATAGTTTAATGTGAGCTGTTTTGGAGAAGTCTACTTATTTTTGTTTTGTTTTTGCCTGACTTGCTAGCACAGACTAACACGGCTACTTGTTTTAAAATTTTTGAGGGGACTGCTAGGATAACGCTAAGCCTGCATGCATTTTGCACTGTGTGCTACAATTCGTCCAACTCTGTACTAATAGATATTAGACTTGGCTGTTAAATTTTGTAGTGTACTCTGTAGGAAAGGTTGAAATACACAATTCTTTAAATGATAATGGACATTCTCTGGATTCTGAGGGATTCCTCTCATAGAACAGTTTTTTGTTAATTATGTCTTGTCTTGGTAACTAGAAATTTTACTCAGCTGAATGAGTAGGCAGCTAGAAGTGGAACTGAGCTCTCAGCTGTCTTCCCCAGCTGAATTTCAGTATTGAGTATAGACAAGAGTACTCGGCATTGTTCCCATCCAGTGTATAACTTAATTGGGCTCCTGAGGAATGGATGGAGTGCTTAAGTTTTCCTCTGGCAGTTCATAATCATTCTGACTCAATGGGCTTAATCCAAAAACTAAGCAGGCTGCCAGTAGAATTATAGATAACTTTGTATCTTGTCCTCCATCTCACTGTGTTTGCTTACTATATATAAAGGTGATAAATAACTCCTATATGTGTAGTACAAAAGCCAAGAGAGCTTAGGTAGACAGAAGAAACTCTTCATACTCTGCTTGTACATGTTGTGTTTCCTTATATATGTGCAGTAAATGAAACTTTTGCATACGTGGCATAAAAAGATGACAAGGAGAGAACAGAGCAAGCCACAACTCTTTTGCCATCATATAGTGATGCCTTGCAAGACAAAAATAATTTGTTCCACGAGTCGTTTCCTATTGAGAAAATTTAATCTTGCAAAGTGCAGTTTCCCATAGGAATGCATTGAAATTTAATTAATGCGTTCCTATTCGTCTTGCGAAGCACGGCCATAGAAAAAATTGTCTTGCGAATCACCAAAAAATTGCAAAATGCTTTTGTCTTGTGAGTTTTTTGTTGCGCAAGACATTCGTCTTGTGAGGCATCACTTCAGTTGGTTATGTGCTGAACAGAATGAGACTTTACCTCCTGTTTAGCACAGAAACACAGTTGACAGGTGGAGCATGTGCAAAGTGATTGGTGTCTTTGCCTCTGGTCTAATCAGCTTTTTATGATAGATATGCAATGAAGGAAACATTTGTGGGTAAGTTGAAATGTGATTCTAGTAGTACTGTCTTATGTCTGATGCCCAGGAAAGGGTCAAGAAAATATAGAAATAACAGTAGTGAGTTCAGTCTAGACTCAAGTATCCTCTGGCTTGCCCTTACCAAAATGCCTTGTCTGGTACACAGATTCTAGCCATGAGGGCACAGCTGAAGGAATGGAGAACATGGCAGATGCTGTCACACATGCCCGATTTGTGGGAACAGATCCGGCAAGTGATGAGGTTGTCCTGATGAAGATCTTACAGGTATGCAGTGCTGTATGCTTTGCTTCTGGCATAATAAGTTCCGTAAAGATTGATTTAGTAATCAGGCTTGCGACTTCAGTGTAGCTTTAGAATTCAGATTTGTTTTTTAACATATTGCTTGTGTACCTGCACTAACAGCTTCTCCAGTGATCTTGGGTATACTTCTGCAGGCAGGCAAAGACCTTTCTCTTCAGGCAAGCCTTCCCTTAGTAACCAGCTACCTGTGTGTGATTTTTAGATGAATTGCTATGCATTACTGCTTTGATTGGATTTTTAGTACTAGTTGTGTTTTCCATTTCTCAGAGTGGATTTTTAAAAATCTTTTTGTATATTTATTGATCTTTTCTTTGATATTTCCTATTAATGGTGTAAGATGCTTCTTTATTTATTGTTTATAATTTTTAAATACTGTCTTTTAAGGATGTTGACCACTGTTGTATACTAATTGTTTTCAACTTTAAATATTGTCTTTCATTGTTGTAAGCCACCTTGGGTCTTTTCAAGGAGCAGAATGGGGTAAAAATATTTTAAATAAAAAATAAATAAATTATTTTTAGTAGGGATCTTTGATCTGCAATAACCAAACCTTCCTAATGCATTAGGGATGGGACATGAGACAGAAACATTCATATTACACAGCAAAATGTTTTTTACTCAAATGAGAGCAATTGTTGTGATGGCATAGAGAAGCATTTTCCTATTATTTATTTATTTTATTTATTTATTTATTCGATTTTTACCCCGCCCCTCTAGACAACTGAAGTTGTTTATCTGTTGTTTCACATGAGTGCCCTGTTTGACCTAGCATTGGAATGGCATTAGGATGTATCACCCTATGTTGATTTATTTTTCCTTTAGGTCCTGAGGACTCTCCTCCTCACTCCTGTTGGAGCTCATCTCACCAATGAGTCAGTGTGTGAAATCATGCAGTCTTGCTTCCGTATATGCTTTGAGATGAGGCTTAGTGGTAGGTTTTCACAGCAAGAAAGCAAAGCTTCAGCTTGCACAAATGGGCAATGTTTTCCTGGAATAATAGGAAACCTATGTGGGGTTTAAGCAGGTATCTAAACAAGAATAAACTATGCTAAATGTATACAGCTAAGTTTCTGCAGCTTTTTTTAAAAAAATGATTTTGCATGTTATCTTCTGCTCAGTTGTTCCTGCCTCTCTCCCTTCCCACCACCCACTTTTAGCTCTGTAGTGCCACTTAGTGTACCTTTGAACATTTTGCTGCACAGCTGAGGCTGGAACTGGTTTTAATAAATTTCCAGTAATCCTTTGTAAACAACACTTGGAGGGGAGTCTACACAGGGAAGCCTCTAGATAATATCACACCGAGTAATGACACCTGTGTTATTTGTTTTTGCCTTCAGAGTTATTGAGAAAATCTGCAGAGCACACTTTGGTCGACATGGTGCAGCTGCTCTTCACAAGGTAAACCTCCTTGTGTTTGTCTCAGCACTGCTCAGATGGTCCTTCAAGGGCAGGAAGATCCCACACTTCCAGTTGTGTACGTGTATGTGTGCATGTACCCTAGAAAGTCATCCAGCCTGAGCATTATCAGAGCCTTGCAAAGCTTATAGCATTGCCAGAATGGGTATTCTCCATAGGTGGTTATAGTGTTTTAGCATTTGTGTCACAAACCCAGAGCAACCAAGAACACAGTGTTGTGTTAAAGTGAGCCACACATGGAACCCAAAATAGATTAATAGAAAAGAGATAAATTTCAATCATTTGCCTAAATCATTTGGACTGGTTCAAAAAAAAAAAGAGACTTTATTATCACCAGGAAATAAAAAGGTTTGGATATACTGTAAACAAATTGCATAGTGCTTCTTGTTTTGAATACTTATTTTGACTTGGCTCGTCTAAGGGATTTCTTTGGAGTACTCTATATAGAGTCCAATGAGCAGCAAGAATACACCTATCATAAAGACTTAGACCTCCCAGGAATCACTGAGGCAGTTTAAGTTTTTGTACATAAAGTAAGGCCTAGAAACCTGGAAGATAGCTCCTGTTCCAGGTGAGTGAAATCTACGTGTCTGTACATGTCTCTGTGGGCAGGAACTCCCAGAATTGTGTTTGAGGAATTCTGAGAGTTGGTCTAAAAATAAAAACAAACACCCCCAATACTGAGTTGCATGCCTCTGATTGTCACAACATCTGTATGAAGGAAGCAGTAATTTTCTACAGATGAGAGCATATGCTTCTCTGAGTCCATCTACCATCCAGTCAAATTATCTTACTCAACCTGCGATTTTATAAAAATGCTGGTTCTAGTAAAAACTCTGAATTTTAGCAACTATATATGAACTTCCAGGCTGATGTTTCTGATTATTGATTTGCAACTTTTAATCAGAAGAGGAGAACCACAAACAGAGATGAAGGCTTCAGAGTTGCATTTCCATTACCATTCCTGTCTGATAAGAAACAAGTATCCTTTATTCCCAGTCAATAATAATTTTGTCTGCTCAAATTGTTCCAGATTACCTCAGTTTAAAGAAGAGCCTAAAAGCTATGTGGGGACTAACATAAAGAAGGTAAGAATGTTAATCACTCCTCTGTTGCCTTCTTTCTTCAGAGTACTTTAAATAGCCTCTCTACTCTGGGAAAAATAATAGTTTCCCCAACAAATGCTTTTTGTTGACACTGAGCCAAATTCACAAACATTCCAAAGGCCCAGCTCTGAATCCCGTGCACGGAGTGAATCTGGGTACAGAATCTTGATCTTTGGATGAATTAACTGGTTTATTTACCCTGGAGCTTTTAGGGAAGTGACTCCTGGTCCTTACAAATGTTGCCTCCTTCTAGTCATAAAATTTCTTTGTGCGCTGAACATGTTGGGTTAGTTCCTGTGCAGAACTAACTCAGAAATTTTTAGCTAGCAATTATCTTCTCTCTCCAAGAAAACGTACTTGAAACCTGGAGTCTTTGGTTGGTGTCCTCTGGGACACAAAATGCCTGTGAATCCCACAGTGTCTGTGGAGCTTCTGTGCCTTTTTTCTGCTCCCTCCTCACCTCAGATTTTCCTATTTCTCAAGTAAGTTGTGGTCAAAATGTAGGAGCAGTGCTGCTCTTTTCCACTTCCTTTCTCATCTTTGTGTGGTTGTCTAGACTGGAAAAGTAGATAGAGCAAATGTACCCTTGATATGCTTATTATAGGTAAGCATCCTGTGTTGTTTTTTCCTTTCATTTTTTGTTTTACGTTTTTACTGTGGTTGCTCATAAATGTCACATCATATTACCTTTGTCATGTTATAAATGCTGTAGCACTGGACTGTTTCTGAAAAAGGCTAAGTGATTAATTAAAATATGACTGAAACTGGAGTCAGTGTTTTTTGTAAGTTCTCCACAATTATTTTTCTGTTTATACAACACCATTTTAATATATTCATTCAGTATATATTCATTGTCTCTGGCCCATAGAATAAAACTGGTGTCCACTAAGCATCCATTTTAGATTCTTGTGGCCTATCTGACAATTTTTCCCCCTTTGGAGTATGCAAGTAGAATGGAAGGAAAAATAAGAGACAGAACAGTTACAGGAATGTGCATTTTAGCCTGCATTGAGAAATATTTGTCCATTTCTTCTCCATCAAGCTAAACATGAGGACTATTTCATTTAATAGTGTTTATTTAGTAGCACATTTTATCTGCAGGAGAGCAAAAAGGCAGTTACGTCATTAGAAATCCAATTATGCTTTTGCAGTTTATTTCTTCACTTTTGTCTGTGATGTAAGAGCCAAGTGTCTTGGAATAAAAACATATGTTGTCCCCTGATTACCTTTCCCGAGTGTGGTATTTTGGACTGCAACTCTCATCAGTCTAATTTAGCATAGGAATGACATAGGCCGAGGAAAGTTGAACTAGACTGACATCTTGGGAAATGTTTTGGACTCAGGATTTGAATCTGCACACCTTGTGTTATGGAGTTCGATGTTGGTATCAGCAGGGAGAAACTTGAGGTAGCTTCAGAAAGTTCTCTCTTGCACAGAAATCCTGTCTTTAGTAGAGAAGTGTTTCACATAGCAAACATTAGACTTCAACGGTTGAATAGTTCTTAACAAGCAATGTATGATAGCTTTTCAGTAATCAGTTGTTTGCTTGCAGCTGATACCCAGTTTTACTGTCCTGCTTGCCTTCACATTGTGTACTTTCACTTCATTCCATGCATTGTTACATTGATGCTGTTCTTGGATTTAGTTTTCTTTTTCTTTTTTCAAACCATACATGTGACTATCTTTCACAGATTTCTTCATATCTCCTCAACAGCCTGGATCTGTATAGTGGGGAACAGTCCAAAGCTCTGAACCAGTTAGAGAGAGTACTGCTCTTTAAGAAACTGAAGGTCTCTCTTTCTCTGTCCTTCCTTTCTGCAAGCCTATGTCAGTGGTTGCTATGTGTTGTGCAGCAAAAGCTTTCACTCCTGCTTCTTTTGCAGCATGGCTTTGGGGAAGAATGCATGTAGTAAATTTGGCATTTGTCTGGCATAGTGTTGAAAGGAGGGCTTTACACAGTGAGTAAGACAGCCACCTTATGCAGCATTGCAAGTGTCCCATGCTGTTCCCAAAACATTATGAGAATTTTAAAAGAATGCAAGGGAGTGTTGCTCACTGTCTAGTGATACAGTATAATTTCTTAACATTCTCATACTTCGAATGTTATTGTTAATATTGTTGATAGATTTATGAATAAATTAGTTTGAAACAAATAAAAATGGACAGTTACAGCTATTTGTGAGCTGGGAAGTTGACTACAGTGGTGAATGTTGTCAATTTTAACTTAATTCTTCAAAAAACCTCTGGTTTATGTAAGTGGGATATTGTACTTCTGTATCCATGATTCAAAATGCAAAGAAATAGTCCAATATTGCTGCATAATATTTTGCCCGTGTTGCCAGGAGGAAAAGAGATGTCAAACTTTACATAGCAAAGAGCAGCCTGAATGTTGATGATGCTTATGTCAGAAGTCAAGATGGTCTACAACACCTGTTCTTAACCTTTTTTTGGCCAAGACCATAAAGTTGCATGACAAACCTTGTAAGGTGTGTGAAGACTTGTTTCCAGTCTGTGCCCCCCTTCAAATGTGCCAGGGGCCATATGGCCCCTGTTAATAATGGTGGTCTACAGGATACCCTCTTGTGTTCATTACCATTCACAAATAGACACTACTACTACTACTACTACTACTACTACTACTACTACTACTACTACTACTAATACTAATACTAATACTAATTTCTTGTCAATGTACAACATGTGTGCAGTGAAATTGAACGAGCCTCCATTGATACAATCACACAAAACACAGAATACATTCAAACACAGAATTAATCTCCAGGCTTGTAAACAAATTCTTAACCCCAGGAATGCGCGCGCACGCGCACGCACGCGCACGCACGCACAACACACACACACACACACACACACACACACACACATACACATTTCACCGGTTTGTGCATGTTGCACTGGCACTGTGAGTCTGTTGTATTAAGTCTAGTCATTATGTTATGTGGCATTTAGAACTCTGACGGCCCACAAAGAAGTTTTCTTAAGAATTGAATTTCCTGAGTTTTTAAAACAAGTTTACAATAAACATGAACTACACACAAATTCCAACAGCAACTTTGCTCATTTAGAATTATCCAGTGTTAGAGGATCCTAGAAGATGACCACATTATCTGTACTATGATTGCTGGGGGAGAACAGAAGGAAGAACAGCTGGTATGTGGCTGCAGGCCCTCTGTGCCAAAATACTTTGAACGACTGTTTTGGACTTAATGAAATTGTGAAGCAAAGATCTGAATGGGTGCAATACATAAAATGGAGAAACATACATACCTTTTAATCACTCAGGTAAACTAATGTTGCCATGCTTGTTCTGCAAAATGCAGACTAGAAGCTGTCTTCCAGTTTCCAAACCCTTGTTCTACAAACATGTTGCCTTCATGTTTCCTAGAAGATGTTCTCTCATCTTTTGAAATAATAAAAAAAGAGAGCTGGGGATTAGCAAAGATTTTTATGTGAAACCAAGATAAAAATCATCCATACTATATAAAAGATGGAGTGTGAAGAAAGATGGAAAAACTCAACGCATTTGAAATATGTTGTTCGAGGGGAGCCTTACTGATAATACAAACCACCAAAAAGGCAAATAAGTGTCTGTTAAATCAAGTCATCAGGACTCTCTCACATTAAAAGTATGTGCATGAAAATAGCACAAAAGTATCATTAAGAAGTTGTCTTGATACCAGATTCTTCTTTCTTTTACTTGAAGTGTTCAGGGATTTTACCTCAACTGAGAGTTTTGCCAGGCTTTTCCACAGTCCATCCTCACAATTGGAGATTTTTGTAAACATATTCTAGATGCCTACCTAGCATTGGCGTTTTATGAACATACAATCCTGTCGTTTAGAATGTCTCCTAGACTTTTTATTTATTAGGTTCCTAAGACAGGTGTTGCTTTATCAACTCAAAGAAGTTTTGCTAAGTTGATTGTTAGAACAATTTTACTTGCACAACAGCTCCTGCTTTTGTTCATAGTCATTCCACAAATCTTCAAGAGCTATGTTCTTGTAAAGTGTAGCATTTGCTAGACATCTGTAGAGCTATGGCAGTAACATGATCATGATCCCTAAACTTTGTGAACTGTTATGTACTTTATGCATGAGACAGAGCAGATGCAGTGTTTTCCAGATTGATTATTTCTTCAGTTGTGGCTTGACATACCCACCAGTAAGTGAACTGACTAATCACCTGTATGTGAGTCATAGAGACCACAAAGAACAGCTTTGTTTACCTGTAACTGTGGTTCTTTAAGTGACAATCTGTAAATACATACAACTCACCATAATCTGTCCCTCTGCTTTGTTAAACTAGAGGCTGGGGAAGTTGGAATTGAGGTGGAACTCTTAGGGTGTTTCTGCATGGACACTGAGAAGATGTCAGGACTGTGCCAAATGGTGCTCAGTTCTAGATGAGCAGGAACTCTGTGTAGGTAGAAAACCAGTGTGTGCTTTTCCATGCTTAAGTTTTGATGTTTGTGAGCACCCCCACCCAGGGTACCGGTTACAAAGTACTTATGGGCGCCAGCCACACTCTTCTCCCAAGGCCTAACTGGGGGCTGAGTTTCCCTCACTATCTCCTTAGTGAGTCTGCATGCTTCCAAATCCCGGGTTTCCGTCACTGGGGGTCATGTCACTCACAGTCTGTGGATGTTGTTTGGTTTTCAGTACAGCCCTGAGCCACCCTCTGCCTTTCAGGGAGGGGTTGCAGAGCTGGCTACTCAGAAACGGGGTAAGTCCCTGGCTCCTCTTGTTGCTGTCTGTGGTGCTCCTTTCGATGCTTCTGCCTCTAGTGCCTTCACTATATCGAGGTGGGGGCAGGAGACCCTACTGGATATCAAGGCCTCTATGGGTCTAGTGTTGATGGTTCTGGAGGGCTGAAGATGGGGGCTCCTCCCTCACATCCTCTCCCTTTGGCCACCAGGACTTCTGCCCAGACCCCTGTTCAGGGATCCTGCACATATGTATAAAATCTGACACACAGGTCTAATTCCTCCTTAGCCACACCCCATTCTTTGCTGCCTTATTCTAGTGAGTCATCTGTGTAGTCCTTCCATTCTTCCCTTTCCTCCTCCTTTCTCCATGACTGCCCTTCCTGCAACCCAGACTTTGCCCCCTTGTCCTGATGTGCTGGATTGCCTCTCTGCTCCTCACCTCTGCCTGTTGATTGTCCTCCCATGTCTGTCTTCTCTTGAAGTTCAGGAGCTCTGGTCTTTGGGCCTTCCAGTAGGTGCAAGGGGAGGACAGATGGCACACCAATATCACTTGTAGCAACCCCTTGACAATGTTCCAGCCTGTGTGTATATATCTACCTAGATGCAGCAGCAATTTAGGCCTTGTATATAGGGAGGGAATGTTGCTGCATTATGTAGGGATCTCATCTCTTTCCTGTCCATCTGATCCGTAATTTCAAGTGTTTGTACTTTTTATCCTCATGACTTAGCTCTCTGGGATGGTGACAGGATATGTTTATTTCAGTGAAATCAGTTATTATTATGGAATGGCTGTTTTCAGCTGGAAGCTATTGTTCTGTTCAGTGCCACTTGTGTTATTGGCTCCTGAAGCATCCTGCATTCAGATTTTTTTAAACACCTGCATTGAACCAACCAGTGAGATCATCTACTGATTGAGAGTGAGGTGTCATTGTATGTTGATGGCTACCGCTTCTTGTTTCTCCTTTATATCAAATTCAGACAAAGTAATGAAGGTCTTGATGTCTGAGATAAGAAAGGGTTGAATAAGTACAGTGGTGCCCTGCTTGACGATTACCCCGGTAGACAACGAAATTGCTTGACGACAACGTTTTTGCGCTCGCTATAGCAATCGCAAAACAATGATTCAAATAGGGTTTTTTCGCTTTACGACAATCGGTTCCCTGCTTAGGGAACCTATTTTTCACTTCACGATAATTTTAAAACAGCTGATTGGCGGCTGGCTCTCAAAATGGCTCCCCAATGTTTTGCTGACCTCATTTCACAAGACAGGGAGCGGAAAATGGCCGCCCTATGGAGGATCTTCTCTGCATGATCAGGTATTTCCCCCATTGGAATGCATTGACCAGTTTTCAATGCACTTCAATGGTTTTTTTTTCCCCACTTGATGACGATTTCGCTGTACAGCGATTTTGCTAGGACACATTATCATCGTCAAGTGGGGCACCACTGTACTAAGAAACTGAGTTCATTTTAGATAAGAATTATCTGTGCTCTGGTAACAGCCACACTAAACTACTTTGATGTATACATGTGGTACTGTTTTTGAAGACCTTCCAGACAAAGCATGTAAGGAAAAGTGCAATTTCTAAGAAAGCTAAACATACAGGTGGCATATCACAGACAAGCAACATAATTAGGAACATTTTGAGTCATTGGACCAGTGCACGATTCCAGGGTTTCCCCTTGGACAGTGGTTTGGACTGTTAGCATACAGATAGCTGCTCCACACTTGCAGTGGGAAAAATACATATACTGTATTTACATGCAATGTGTGTAAGTACATACAAAAATGTGTATGTTTACAAATGTGCATACATACGTAATGCTATGGAATAGAGTTCGAGGTGTATGGGAGTTTCTTAAAGTTAAATTTGGAAGACATTCTTTCAGATTATGCCAATGACAAGGAAAATAGGAGATATCTAAAGACTATAAGAAGATTTATGATGAGCACAGATTTAAAAGTGAAGCAGAATTGAGTAGGGTACATTTGTATGGAAAGTGTCAAGAGGGCTAAAGCTCAAGTACAGCTTGAGCTTTTGAGGGATGTCAAAAGTAAAAATAGGCTATATCTTGACTGTATTCAGAGCAAATGGAATTATAAGGAAATAGTATATATTGTGCATGAGGAAGATGGAAAAATGTTAGTGAGAGACAGAGAAAAAGTAGAATTGTCCAGTTGCTTTGCTTCAGAGTTTGCGCCACAAGGAAACTGCTCCACTGATCAAAAAACAAATTAAATATGCAATGAAGGAGTTACAGTCCAAAGTATGTGAAGAGAAAACAAAAGAGCAACTTGTGAATGAAATCAGAGAGATTCCATCTGTAATTTTTAAAAGCTCTTGGAAAACAGCTGACATGTTGTAAGACTTGGAAATAGATAACACCTACTCACTGAAAAGGGGAGAAAATGAATCCAAGAAATGATTGATGTCTCAAATTGATATTAATACTTGGGGGGGGGGCAGAATTAACAAGTCATTAAGAAATCTGTGTTAGATAGGGGAAAAATACTGTCACCACAGAAAGCCGTTGAGGGTGTCTAAGGAGGAAATAATGCCAACCTAACATTATCTCCTTTTTTGATAGAGTTAATAGTCTACCTGACCAGAGAATACTGTGAATACAGTATACATTTATTCCAGCAAGCCTTACCACAAGATTCCCCATGATATTCTTGTTGGCAGGCTGGCAAAATGTAGCCTACCCACTACTATATGTAGGTGGATTTAAGATAGTGGGCTAATACGCAAACAGTTCTTATATGTAAAAGTGTTGCAGACTTCCTTGATACTATTGTTAGGAGATGAACCGTTGTCCCTTTAAGGATGTCTAACCCTTTTCTGCCCCCTTGATGCCTATATAGGTAGTTACCTATCAAGCCACCATGACTATGTCCAATTTTTACTTATGCCAATAAAGGTTTTAGCTGTCTATCTAACAGTTCTAATAGTGACTCAATTTCAGTCTGGAGAGAAGTAACAAATGAGGTGTTTCAGATTCTGCTCTTAGTCCATTATTGTTTAATATCTTAATAGCTGCCAAGAAGCGTCGTTATACGTTTATTTGGACAAAGGAATAGAACAGTTTTACAGATGCCACACAAAACTGGGTATGTGGCTTATGCCTTAGAAGAAAGAATTAGGATGCAAAATGATATTGGCAGGATAGATAACTAGGCTGTAACTGTCAAAATAACTTTGAACAAAGAGGAACATAAACTTCTGTATGTAGATAGCAAAAACTATGTGCACAGATACAGGGTGAGTTAGACCTGATTTAACAGGGATAAATTTGAAAAGGATTTACAAATTTTAGTCAAGCTAAACATGAGTCAGCATTGCACTATGATAGCTAAATCAGTGTAAATTATTTTTAGGTTGCATCAGTACTAGTATTCATTTTGTTTAAAGTAATGGCATTGTTTTGTTCTGCTTTGGGGCCACTGCTCTCAACTGGAAAACTATCCAGTTCTGGTATCACAGTTCAAGTTGATATATTTATAGGCAATTTCATTCTCTGCTAGACAGTGTATATCTTTCTCTGTTCTTGGGTGGTTGTTACTCACTGATAGTCCACAGTCTGTAGGCAACAGACCTAATATCTGTGTGAGGAAGGGAAAGTTGTGTACATGTTGTTGTTTTTATTACAAGCAGTATAATTCCATTACGGTATTTTAATTTTAACTGTGTTCCAGTTCACAGGCCATGTACTTTGTCCTGAAGAATGTGGTGAAAAATGTTTGGAAGGAACTCCTTTTTATTTTGTTTCTTGATAATACTAGAGCACAGTAGAAGACTGAGAGAATAGGACCAGTTTGGAAACTGAATGTGTATATGATATAAACACAGATGTGAGAAATTTGGCCTCTTGCCTAAAACATCTGTTAGACAACCATTTCTGTCAGTTAGAAATTAAAGCAACAGGCAAGGCACCTAATTTTTTTTACTGAGGGGGTGGGCTGTATCATGAAGTCATGGGATGGAACACTTGTAAAATGGCATAATGATGGGGCTCTCAGTTTGACCTAATGGATTGCTGTTGCCAGTCTTCAAGCTATAGGAGACATTTTGTGTGTTTCTTGTTCACAGTTGAAAATGAGAGCAGGGGGAATGAGCGACCCTACAAAATGGAAAAAGCAGAAAAGATCACCAAGGAACTCTTGCCATGTAACCAAAGTCTCTTCAGAAACAGAACATTCTACTGTCAGTGGTACAGGTATGACAACTGCTTGATTGTTTGCTTGTTTTAGAAAACATACATACAGTGGTGCCTCGTTTAGTGATGTTAATCCATTCTGAAAAAATTGCTGCTAAGCGATTTCATCGCTAAGCGAAACGTGGTTTCCCATTGAAATGCATTGAAAACTGGATAATCCATTCCAATAGGAACGAATTGCCATCCTTAAGCGAAAATCGCCATAGGAAACATCGCTAAGCGAAAAGCGGTTCCCCAATTGAAATGCATTGAAATCTATTCAATGCATCTCAATGGGGAGAAAAAAATACAACAATAAATTAAAAAAGAGTCAGAACAAAGTCAAATTTGGTTAACAAAGGGGTTTATTAAGTGCACTTTATGATTTCAAACATTTTAAACAGTAAACTTTAACTTTATAAATAACAGGAAAACATTTAAAAAACAGCAAACATGAGGCTGTTTAAACCATCATTAAGCAAAACAGGGGACCCAAAATTTAATCACTATGCAAAGCATGATCCCAACCATCGCTAAGTGATAAGGACCATCGCTAAACGAAGCGCAAAAACGCTCCAAAAAGTTGTCGCTAAGCGATTTCATCGCTAAATGGAGCACCCGTTAAGCGAGGCACTACTGTAGTACCTTTCTGCGTTCTGTAGCATAACTTATTAAAGCAAGAGAAAATACACAACAAAGAAATATTACATTAAAAATACATTCTTAACTTTTGGGAGAAAATAGCCATCTTTGCTTGATGCTGAAAAAATTACAGTGTTGACACCAAGTAGACCTTTCTGGGGAGAAAATTCTGTAAATGTTAAATGTTGAGTCACTGTGGGAAATACTCTGATTGTCCCTCCTTGGTCGATACAAGCCTTTTCCCAGATAGCAAGGGCAACTGGAGGAGAGGCTTAAGGAAAGGACAGGTTAGTATGTGAGCAAACATTTTTTCAAGTATTTGGCTCTAAAGGTGAGTAGGGTTTACATGAATGTAATAGTTGAATGGGAGTCAACATCCTGTATACCCAGTGTAGTGTAGTGGGTAGAGTACAACTCTAGAAACCTAGATTTGAGACCTAGCTTGGCTATGGGAACTCACTCGGTGAGCGGAAGGGAAGTCCACTCCCTAAAAACCTCATGTATCTTGAAAGAATACCTGTTTTACGCTGCTGCTATTTGGCTCAAAATATAGTCAGAATGCTGGTTAACAGTACTAATGATGGAACCAGTGTAAGAGATTGTCTTTGAGATATTTGGAACCCAAGCCACCAAGAACTTTGTAGCTCAAAACCAGCACCTTGACCTGCACCTGGAAGATACCAGGGATTTAAGGCAGCCCGGTGAAATCCATTCTGTGACATTTTATTAGCTGAAGTCATTAATTGAATGCAATGTAAGGTACATAAACTCACAGCAATTAGTATGTGGATAACATATTGCTACTGTTTTTTATTAACAGGTGGAGTTAGCTTCATTGATGTACCTTCTCCTGTCTCACCTGGAAGCTCAGAAAATGCATCCTCTATAGTCAGTCCTGCTACTGACAGTGGTTTTGAGATTTCCTCCCAGATTAGCTCAAAGGAAGATCTTACAGATTTGCCACTGGGCAGTCCTTTGGAAATCAGTGCAGCAGTGACTTTAACTGAGTCTAGAACCCGAGAGCAGCCAGAGTCTCAGGTATTACTTTACTGCAGAATCCAAAAGACCCACAAGCCAGTTATAAACATGGTGTGTAGCAATCAGTTTCAGTGTGGAGAGAACCTGCTCAGGGTTCCAGCTACCTAGATGTGCCTTTTTTTAGGATACTCCAGTCCATACCTCTCCCTACTTTTTAACCACTGAGCATGCTCAGTCATCATTAGGCCTCTCTCTCTCTCTCTCTCTCTCTCTGTTTGTGTGTGTGTGTGTGTGTGTGTGTCTTAGGGTTCTTTTATTTCTTAAATGGTATCTAATTCTGCAAATCATGGAATCCCCTAAGTGTGTTGCCTCTTTCCATTTCTGCATAGATGACAGTGATCTTTCAGCTATATCAATAATGGGTCTATGTATTTGTCAAAAGCTCTGTAATTAGGCTGCTTTATTCTTCTTCTGTAAGTGCAGCAAATCCAAGACTGGAAGTAAAAGGATTCTGTTTTCTATATACTGTATCTTTGTTTGTTGTGGTAGTGAATGCTTTGAATTAAGAGAGTCTTAGTACCATAAGCTGAAAATTCACTAGTACACAAAATGCTGGTAGGGACCGTCAAACTTAATTCACTTAGGCCGCTTACCTCATAAGAGTGAGCTCTTTGAGGTATCTGTTCTGACAATGAATCTTTTGCTTGTTTCAGTCAAATGCTGATGCTGTAATGATAATTTATATTATCTTTCTATATTATTATCTTTATTGCTAAAGAGTGAATCTCCCCAGGAAGAAAAGACTCCATCTGCCTCAGTGGAGTCCATCCCAGAGGTTCTTGAGGAGTGCCCATCTATAGCTGAACACTCAGACTCTGCTTCCGTTCATGACATGGACTATGTCAATCCTCGGGGAGTACGATTTACTCAGAGCTCTCAAAAGGAAGGTGAGTACTTCAGGATAGTACTAGTGTCCTCTCTGTCAGTTCTACTTGTTGTAAAGAAAGCTGTAAGTAACCAGGATTTGCCAGTGGGAAGAACATTATCTCTTGGGCTATAAAGAGGTTCACCAGAAGTGCTGTGGCTATAAACTTTCTGTTTATCCTTTCTTCCTCCATAGGAACAGCATTAGTTCCATATGGGTTGCCCTGTATCCGGGAATTACTCCGCTTCCTCATCTCCCTCACTAATCCACATGACCGCCACAATTCTGAAGTGATGATTCACATGGGGCTACAGCTGCTTACTGTTGCCTTGGAGTTGGCTTCTGTTGCAAACTTTCCATCTCTTCTGGGACTTGTGAAAGAAGAATTGTGTCGGTATCTCTTTCAAGTGAGTTTGAACTAATTAGATTTTTGATGAGTACGAATAGGTACTGTATTAGGTGGTATGTTTTGGAATGTAGCCATTTAGTTAAAGCACCATGGAGCAAACTTCTGTTTTTGTTTTGCTTTCTGAATGGGAGGAAAAAGAAAATATTTCCATTAACTTTCTTTCAACTTTAATTTCTCCTCAGTTACTGAGTGTGGAGCGTCTCAGTTTGTATTCAACTTCCCTTAGGGTTTGCTTCCTTCTTTTTGAGAGTATGAGAGAGCACCTGAAATTCCAACTGGAGGTGAGTCTTTTAAAATACAGCTATATAGTCTTTGACAGAAATAAATTAAATACTTTGTAGCTTGGTTCATGTTTGCATACGGAATTCTATCTGAGTACTTAGGGGGGAACTGAGGGAAATTGAAAGTAACTTTGAGATTCTTGAGCTCCTTTCTTAAAATAGATGTATCTACGAAGGATGTTATCTATCTATCTATCTATCTATCTATCTATCTATCTATCTATCTATCTATCTATCTATCTATCTATCTATCTATCTATCTATTAAATTTATACCCCGCCCTTCTAGACCATGTCTACTCGGGGCGGCTTACAGCATAAAAGTTCCAAGAACAGTGAAGGAAACAGTGATGCACAAGAATCAAGCTATGAAAAGACCAGAGGGAGGAATTTTGAATCTGAGAAGATGCAATGCAATTAGGAAATGAGAAATGGGAAAGAACAAACTGGTCCTCAGGAAGAAAAGGAAGAGTGGAAGATAAAAATATGGCATCCGAAAAGAATGATTGAATTAGACAGCAGTATCTGATGGAGAACTTGCTAGATAAAAACATTTCTGAGAGCAATAGAATGTCTGTGAATGTGAAGACCTGTGGAAGACAAGAGAAGCTCCAGACCTCCAAGCAATTCATTCCATGAATATGACAAATTTGCCACCCCTTGATGTGATCCATGCTAGAAATACTAGTAGAAACAATGTGTCAATTGATAGATTGTATAATTAGCCACATGGAAGCTGCTCATTTGCTTTTTCATTTCCTCTTCCAAGCTCTCTCTTTCAAAGGCTTTCTCTAATTGACAATTGTAATTTTTGTTTGTGTATCAAGCAGCATGCAAGTACATACAAGAACCATTCTTCCTGAATGAGTACTTATTTTTTCCACACTATTGTGAGTCTATCTGGCTCAAACCTCAGTGTCTGCTTGGCAGCAAGAAAATGTATTGTTTTTTCCAGTAGATGCTGCTGGATGGGGAGTCATCCCTGAACTTGATCTGAGAATGTACTTGCTGGAGGGGCATTTTTTCTCTCTCTCCCCCCCCCTTTTCAAACAGATGCAAACAAGTTGAGATGCACAAAAGACCTTTCTTAAAGTCTGCTCTGGAACAATAAAATACAAGTTATTAAACAGCTGGTTAGGAAATGGCTTAGGTTTGTGAAACCTCAGGAAAGTCCCGCTGATGTATCTGAAAGAAAAATTAAAACAGATCAGAAAGAATTACTATAAGAGGCCTGTCCAAAGACCAATGGCACCTGTGGGTAGGTTTGCAAAATGAGAGAAAACAAGAGTCATGTTAAATATGCATAGAGGAAAGTATAGAGTGAGTATGTAGCCAAACAGATACACTTGAATTTGAGTCACAATTCATGAGGGTATAGCCATGGAAATCATTATTACTGCTATATTATATGAATGCAAAACAATAGTAAAAAGAAGGAGGAGGAGAACATAATTGGGCATGTGGAGTTTGTCCTTCCCATACCATTGAGGAACCAAAGCCTTCCTGCTCACATATGTAGTTTAAGCTACACTCTTGACATTTACTACTTTCAGTATTTGAGACTTCTTTCACAATAAATCTCGAGATTACGAGCGCATGTACTAGAGTAGTGAGGGCCCTCCGATCAAGATATGGACGCAGCTGGGCAATCCACCATAGATGAAAATAGGCGGAGCAGACCACGGACGCCACCTGGGTTTCCATGGTAAGCGCCGGGTCCAGATGTACCCCCAAGCTGCTGATAATTGGGCTGATAATTTGGGGTTAGTTAATTCCATGGATAAATGGTGGCAAGATTAGGTCTGAAAAATGGGCATCTGGTCTAGGAGACTCTGGCTAGGGGGTAGAGCAGTAACCCACTCCATAGCGGTAGCCATAGGCCAGAACAGTGACAAATAGCCAAGATGTGCAGCTTGTTTCGGTGGTTACGAGCCTTTCAAGCTGTTGATTGTTTGTTGGATTGAGTTAAGGTAATTGGAAGAAATTTTGGTTGTTTAGTTTATCATCTTATTATCTCTGTGGGGGCTGCAAACAGTTTCATGGCTACTTTTACTATAAAGTTGTCAACTGAGCAACAGTAGTGGCGCTGACCAAGTAGAAAGAAGCAGCAGCAGGAAAACAAGGTGGGAAGACTGCTTTCCCTATGTCTCAATATATTCCTTATTTCTTTTGTGTCCCTAGTTTTACAGAATATCTAAAATCCTTTTTAAAATATGCAGTAGTCAGCTGCTGCCAATTATGTCATTTCCCCAATGCTAGTGCCAGTTCAACAAAACAATTTGGGTCAATGTCTTTTTCTGTGTCAGTATATATTGACTTGAAATAATCTGCACTTTTGATATCTGATAATATTTACTTGCTGCAGTCATGTGTTAGCATTTTTGTGCTCTTACGCATTACCCACAGTATTTTTCTTCTTATCCATAGGAGCTTGGGTGCTTTTTGTCTGCCTTGTGGGGGTGGAAGATAGCAACTGCTAATGTACAGTTATAAGACTTTTCTCTGATGCACATGCTAGATAGTTCCAATTGTGAAGCAGGATTAATTTGATTTCAATTATAATTTAAATAAAAAATTATTTTAAAGATTTAAATAATGATTTAAATCAATTTTATTTTTTTATAAAAAATATTGATTATTTATCCCCCCTGTATGTGAAGCCATATTTTAGCGTTGTTTCACATATATGTAATTATATGTATATTAAGATATATTTTATGTATATAAAATCATATACACATTTATTTTTAAAAAGGTAGTGATCAAGACAAAGACTCTCTCATATGGCATAAAAACAAGCCTTCTTTTGCATCCTATATATTGAACTAGGTTCTCTTTTCACCAGATGTATATAAAGAAGCTGATGGAGATAATCACTGTGGAAAACCCTAAGATGCCCTATGAGATGAAGGAAATGGCCCTGGAGGCCATAGTTCAGCTCTGGAGGATTCCTAGCTTTGTCACTGAGCTCTATATCAACTATGACTGTGATTATTACTGTGCTAACCTGTTTGAAGACCTCACCAAGCTGCTCTCCAAGGTCTTGAAAAATATTTGTAGTTTTCTTTCCTATAGAACTGTACATCTTTCCACTCAACAGAAAATAAGATATCATTACTCCTGAACAGTAAAGTAGCAACCATGTATTTAATTAGGGAATGGTCTGATGGGGACCAGGATGCTTGGTGAGGTATGATTGACTGGTATGTATTTCTCCTTTGGCTGCAAAATAGGTTTAGATTTGGGGAAATATAACAGGAGAAAGGATGCAGTACAGTGATCCCAATTACATCCTAAACTGCAGCTGATGTTAAAACTTTTTAAAATAGTGAGAGGTATGATCATGGGTATCCTGTCATTTTAGCTTTAGCACAGGAGTGGATTCTTATTTTTTCATCAACATATGTGTTTGCAAAACTAATTGTGATAAATATAAGAAATATATAATGGGTGTATATAAGTATGTAATTAAGAATAAGAGGTGACTTCCTCCAGGGAGCTGCAATTGATTGTTGCTTTCTACCATATATAGTTGGCTGTGGACATCTCTTCTTCACAATGTAAATGCATTATTCTCAGCTGAGAACATTTGAGTTGTGAAGGAGAGATACCCACAGGGCACCACAATCAACTGCAGAATATAAATCAGCTTTGAAGTGTCAGTGTAATGGTTAGAACATTAGACTGAAATTTAGGAGATCTATGTTCTAGCCTGTCTAGTGACAACTTCTTGACTTACCTTGTAAGGATGGTGTGAGCATAAAATTGGGGCAGGGGGAAATGTGCATCAACTTGAGCTCATTGGAGGAAAGGCAAGGTTATACACATAATTAACTAATAAATAAATCAGGTTGGGATAAATATTTACATTCTATCCAGAAATGTATGATATGAAGAAAAGGGAACCAAGGTAATTTGAGGAACAGGATAGTTTATGGAGGCTTGCAGGGCTGTGTGGCATTTCAAACTGGATAGCTTCTGTATATAGTTTTTTAGCTTAAATGGAGATAAAATGTAATGCTTAGATGTGCTTGATTCCTCCAGAATGCCTTTCCTGTTTCTGGACAACTCTACACTACTCACCTGCTGTCCCTTGAAGCGTTGCTGACAGTGATAGACAGAACTGAAGCACAGTGTCAAGCCAAAGTGCTCAGCAACATCTACCAGCAGGAGAAAGAAGCACTAAAGCTAAACTCAGAAGTTGCCTGTAGTATCAGAGAAACAAGCCACAGTGAGCACCTTATGTTTGATGTCTTTATCTTGACTGAATTCTAGACAAGGCAGCCATTCTGTTCTGTAAATGCCTATTCTAAGCATTGATGTTTGTGACGAAAGCCCACGTCACTCCTGTCACTCATAGCTTTAGCTCATTTGCATGAGCCTATGGGAGGAGTGGAGGGGCGGGATCATTTAGTCAGTGAGTTAGAGAAGGGGAGTGCGAGGTGTAAAGGAGAGAGGTTGAAGAGCAAAGAGAGATAGATAATCAGAAATAGAAATAACTGATATTAATAACAATAAGCTGGTTAAAGTGAATAAATGAAGCAAATAGTGATTGAGTGTGTAACAAAATACTGTATATGAGGTTTCAATGATTTTGATTCTATAAGAACATCTGCGATTCAGATTCAACCTAATATCTTTGAATAAACAAGTTCGGGTGGCAGCAAGCGTCTGATTAAAGTCTTTTACAGTGTGGATAGGAGAAATCCACTGGTGGCAGTGAGGGAAAGAGAGAATATTGGTGAACCCTTGGTTTGGGGGAAACAAGCAGGGGACACTGGGTGAATGTCACAAGTGGTGGCAAGCGGTGGGACACGAATAGAATCCAGTAAAGCCAAAGTAAAAGGGATTTTTTTCTGAGTCAAAGGTGCCTATTAATCAGAGAGAGTTCTGTCGTGAAGAAGTGGGTGACTCGCTAGAGCTTTTGTGGAAAAGCTTAGTAGCGGGGCTCTTGAACACAGCTCTTGGGCGGGACTAAGATAGGAAATGACTCTGAGGGAAAAATTCTGTTTTAGGTTTGCCTCAAGATTTGGAAGATCAGTGGGCTAGCTTTGGATCCAAGGCTCTGAGAAGTGAGCGCTGGTGGACAAAAACGGAAGCCAGGGTCAGAAATAGGTTTGAGGTGACAGGAACAAGCAGAGGCTTGGAAAAAAAATCTGAAAGAGTTTTGTGTCTGGAGGCAAGACGATAGAGTGTCTCAAACCAAAGAACAGTGTGGCTGGCGGGGTGCCAGAAGAAACAGTGTAGCAGTCCTTAGCTGCCGAGGGAGAGCTACAGAGTAACTCAGAAAGGAAAACGTATTTTAAACAGAGGCTCGATTATCTCTCTGCAAAATACCAGCTTATCCAAATAAATACACACACATATGCCTCCTAAGAGAAGTAAAAAGATAGTAATTGAGGTAACTGATCCTCAGGATTTACCTCATGAAGTGGAGGGAAATGGACTCCCTGTGGAAATATCTGTAGAACAGGAGGAGACTCATGAGGATGCCTCAGGGAGAGATAATGTTTTAATTTCCCAGAAGTTTGAAAAATGGAATTGGAACAAGAATTCAAACTAGGAGCTGAGGAACTGCAATTAAAAGAGAGAGAGAAATGGCAATGGAACAAGAAAAAGAAAATAGACAAATATAAGACAAAAAGAGATGGACTTTCAATTACAAATGAGACAGTTAGAACTGGCATCTCAATACAACAATAATAACAGTAATGCTGAGGGAAATTTCTCAAAAATAGACCTAAAGAAATTTCCCCAATATAGAAAAGTTGACTGCCCAGAATCCTTTGAGCGAGCTTGCTGGGACTTTAATGTGTGAGAGAAAGAAAGAATGATTGTGCTAAGATCTCAAATAAGTGGAGATTTAGCTGACCTCTATTCACAAATGCCCCTAGATCAAGCCAGAGACTTTGAGGCTTATAGAAAAATGGTTTATTCGAGGTATTGAATCAATGCAGAACACCTGCGACGAAAATTTCACACCCTGACCAAAAAGCCTGATGAATCGTATTCCCAATTAGGGACAAAATTAGTACAATGTTGGAGAAATGGATGAGGTAGGAGAATTTCACGTCTCTAGAACAAATGAAAAATATAATAGGGCTGGATCATTTTATTCTGTTCTACCTGGTGATTTGAGATATTTAGTGAGAGACAAAAAGCCTAAAAATATACAGGAGGCCAGTGAAACTGCTGATTCTATAAATGAGATAAGGAATCCCAGATTATCTGAGGTAGAAATTGGCACGAAAGTGTGGGATGACAGGAGGAGAGGACCTAGAGATTACCTCAGAAATAATCAAGTTACTGGAAGCCATTTTAAACGCAAGCCTTCAGAGCTGAGCCACCAGAAACATAGTAACTTTGAAGGAAAGGGTGACAAGTCCCTGTAATTAGAACCCAGAACCAATAAAACATGTTATGGGTGTAGGTAGAAATACATTTTTTGGCTCAGTGCCAGACCACCAAGAATAGGGATGTTGGTCAGCAAAAAGGAGGGGGAAATTCTAGTCTGCCAAAGAAAGTATACTGTGTAGAACAGAATGGAGCTAAGGGAGCCATTGAATTGGTTGCCATAACAACCCCAGTGACAGAAGCCAGAGAGCCAAGAGGAGCCTCCTATGGCTAGGGTCCAATGCTATTTGATAAAATGTGGCCAAGGTCTTCTACGCAGTTCAGGTGATGATATATATGTTAATAATAACAAATATCTTGCTCTAAAAGATTTCCGCTCACAAGTTACAGTGTGTCATCCAGAGATAACCCCTAATAAAAATATGCTGGAACATGAAACAATTTCTATTAAAGGGGCTGAAATAATGAAATTACCATTGGCAAAAATTTAAAATGTGGACAGGAGATTGGACAGTGGCCATATTTGAGCAAATTCCTGCCCCATGTTTAATAGGCCTAGATTTATTGGAGCATGTACAGAGTGTTTTTGTAACAACCTGCTCACAGGGAAGGTCAATTGAAGACACAGAAGAAAACATTTGGAATTCTGAAATAACAGAAGGGAATGAAACAGCTGAGGAATCCTAGTAATCTTGTCTTTCATAAAAGAACAAAAAGAAGACCCTACCTTAAGTGAATGCTTTAGACAATGCTCTTCTAAGGAAGAGCCCCTGACCCCTGAAAACCCTGAAAGATACTGTGTGAAGGAAGACCTACTGTAGAGAGAGGTTCTAGTGAATCCTATGAGGGGATGGGAGAGCATTCTCAGACAACTGGTAGTAACCTTCAAATACAGAGAAGGGATTTTAGAAAAGGGAGATAAAGATGCATTTGCGGCTCATTTAGGAAGCTCACATACCAAGCAAAGGATTGCTCAAAACTTTTACTGGCCTGGGATGGGGAAGCAGGTCAAGTTATATTTTCAAAGCTGTGACACATGTCAGAGGCAGGGTACTGGGAATGACAAGACCAAGGCTAAGCTGTGCCCATTACCAGTTATCTCAACCTCATTTCAGCGAATAGGTCTAGACATAGTGGGACCCCTACCTAAAGTTACTAGGCGGGGAAATAGATTCATTTTGTCCATAATTGATCAGATGCAAAGATACCTGGAAGCTGTTTTTTTGCAGAATATTGAAACAGAGACAGTGGCAGATGCACAATTAAATTATATGTGATGCATGGGCTTCGCTTCACAGATAGATACCGATTTGGGGACCTCATTTACATCCAAATTAATGAAAAGGTTGTGGCAAGTCTGTGGCATCATTCACATCACATCATCCCCTTGTCATCCCCAGACTAATGGATTGTTTGAGAAATTTAATGGGAACCTGATGTGAATGATTCGAACATATACCGCTGAAAATCCAAATGATTGGGACCATAAATTGCAACCATTATTGTATGCTCTTAGATCTGTACCCCAGGAAAATACAGGATTTAGTCCTTTTGAACTATTATTTGGAAGGAAAGCCCGGCAAAACTGGGAGGAACATAGAGGGGAGGATCCTGAGTCAGTGGTCCAATATTTAGATGCACTGATAAGAACCATCAAGGAAAGCAAAAACACTGGTACGACAAGAGGGCCAGGGAAAGAGCATTTAATCCTGGAGACTAAGTGCTAATGTTGAAACCTATTAAAGGAAACAAACTCCAATTAGCTTGGGCAGGTCCATTTAGAGTGGTCTCTAAAATGAGTGACGTGAATTATGTAATTCAGGAGGAGGGAGAAAGCAGAAGGGTTGTGCAGGAAAACATGATTAAACCATATTATAGAAAAGAAAATTATGTTTGGTATGCCATCAAAGAAACGCCCAAGGAAAAACCTGAATTATGATATTGAGAAGGAAGGGGTGAACCCCAGTATAACCCTGAAGATGTTAAAATTAGCCCTACTCTAGCCTCAGAGTGACAAGATGAAGCAAAAGCCTTGCTGCAGAAATAAAAGCATGTCTTTTCTAGTAAGCCTTGTGTAGCCAAGGATGTAGGGCATAAAACAGAGACTTGGGGAGAGCACAGAATTCACCTAGAGACAGTATTACAAAGACTACATGAAGCTGGGGTGACAGTCAAAGCTAGTAAAAGCCAACTGTGTAGTTCTGAATTAAAATACTTAGGCCATGTAGTAGGGGGAGGTATAATCAAACCCCTTGAATCTAAAATAGAGGCTATCAACAATTGGCCCAGGCCGACATCCAAGGAAAAAAAAGATCTTTCCTAGGGTTGGCCAACTATTATCGTCGCTTTGTACCCAATTTCAGTGAGATAGCTGCCCCTTTATCTGATTTAACACCCAAAAGAAAGGCTGAGAAGATCCAATGGACAGTCGACCGCGAGGAGGCCGTTAGCAAGTTGAAGATGGCGTTGACTGCCGGTCCTATCTTGAGAGCTCCAGACTTCCAGAGAGAGTTCGCAGTCTTCACAGATGCGTCCAACATTGGGTTGGGAGCCATGCTGACCCAGGCAGATGACGACGGAAACCATCATCTTGTAACCTACCTCAGCAAGAAACTGCAGGCGGGTGAGAGGCATTTGTCCACGACTGAGCAGGAGTGCCTAGCCATCGTTTGGGCATTGCTATCTTGAGAGCTCCAGACTTCCAGAGAGAGTTCGCAGTCTTCACAGATGCGTCCAACATTGGGTTGGGAGCCATGCTGACCCAGGCAGATGACGACGGAAACCATCATCTTGTAACCTACCTCAGCAAGAAACTGCAGGCGGGTGAGAGGCATTTGTCCACGACTGAGCAGGAGTGCCTAGCCATCGTTTGGGCATTGCAGAAACTGAGAACTAGCCATCGTTTGGGCATTGCAGAAACTGAGGCCATACATATGGGACTGACATTTTGTACTTTGCACTTATCATTCCCTACTTCTGTGGCTGAGAACTATCCGGGCCAATAACAACAAACTGCTGAGATGGGTCCTGCTTTTGCAGGACTTTTATTTTGGGATTCGGAACGTGAAGGGAACCCAGAACGTGGTGGCTGACGCATTATCTCGGAGACCAGAGGACTGATGGATGGGGGGAGAAGGAAAATGTAAAATGTAATGGTATATAAACTGTTCTGTTTATGCATAAGATTAAGATCTAATTAAAAGTGTAATGTCATGTTGAATTAATGGTAAGTAGTGATAAATGTAACAGTAATGTGATTTGTTTTAGTGTAATTGTAATTAATGCAAATATTTATAATTGCAATGACTGGGTTAAATGTTTAATACGTTTAATTTGCTCTAAGTAGTAATCGATAATGGCACATATGCATAGATACTGTATAAGAAAAAATATTGTGTAAAAGAATAACTTGTAATAGTGTTGTGAAAATGTTTGAAATAAAGTGTTCACTGCTTACTGCGTTGTTCATGAGGGTAAACTATAAGGTTTCCCCCATGAAACAAACTTTTCCTAGGGGGTAGGTATGTGACGAATGCCCAGGTCACTCCTGTCACTCATAGCTGGAGCTCATTTGAATGAGCCTATGAGAGTAGGGGAGGGGCGGGATCATTCAGTCAGTTAGTGAGTTAGAGAAGGGGAGTGCAAGGTATAAAGGAGAGAGGTTGAAGCGTAAAGAGAGATAGATAGAGAAATAAAAAGAACTGATATTAATAACGATAAGCTGGTTAAAGTGAATAAATGAAGCAAATGGTGATTCATCATAGGCATCCTTCAGTCTCGAGAGACTATGGTAACATGCTTTAAATCGAGGAGTGTTCTCTTCAGAGCATGAAGCCTGGGTAAGGTAATATGGAGGATAGGCTGTTACCCAAACACCAGATCCCCCCTCTCCACGTTGCTGAAATGGTCCAATGGAAAGGCAAGAGCCAATACAACTGGTCCCAGCAATGTCGCAGGAGTTGGCAGAACGACACGAACTGCCTTCGGGACTCCAGCTCCGGATTTTGTCGGTGATTGAGTGTGTAACAAAATATAAGAGGTTTCAGTGATTTTGATTCTATAAGAACATCTGCGATTCAGATTCAACCTAATATCTTGTAATAAACAAGTTCTGGTGGCAGCAAGTGTCTGATTAAAGTCTTTTATAGTGTGGATACAGGAAATCCACCGGTGGCAGCGAAGGAAAGAGAGAACGACACTAGAGTGAACCCTTGGTTTAGGGGAAACAAGCAGGGGACACTGGGTGAACATCACATGTTATTATACCTTCTTAATTTGGTTGGTTGCCTTTGGTGAGATTTTTTACAATAAGGTTTCAGTCTGTGATTTTGAGTTTTATACTTTCTCATGATTTTGATATGGTGTATAGTTATTCTCACTTTTTTGAATAAAAATTTCTTGCTGTGAAAACAGTTATTCCTTACTTTGGAGTATTAGCTGTCTTAGGAGTAGTGGCTTCCAACCTTGGGTATCCCATATGTTCTTGGACTGCAATTCCCAGAAGCCTTCACCACTAGCTATGCTGGTTAGGGTCTCTGGTAGTTGCAATCCAAGAACATCTGGGCTACTCAAGGTTGGGAACTACTGGTCTAGAGGATAACATGGTGACCACAAACCTGCTTTTCTTTGATGGCTCAGTTTCTTCTGTTTTCCCTGTAGTTGCTGAGGGGCTGCTGACAGAAAGCAAGTCTTCCACTACTGGATTGACAGAGGCATGTCCACCCACTACTGTCTGCTTAGTGGCCAACCACCTGAAGCAGCAAGATGGTATGGAAGTGGGGAATGATGCAGGTAGATCTGACTTTTGATTATTATTTATGTTCAGTAGACACCTCAAATGTGTGGTGGTGGTTCTTTTGTTTTTGCCTCTATAGGTGTAGTATAGTAGTCTCTGGATCAGTGAAATATGTGATGATTTGTACATTGTTTGAGTACAGTCATTTGTTGATGGTTTTGAATAAGACTTGTTAATGTTTCTAAGAGACGTGGTGGCGCTGCGGGTTAAACTGCAGAAGCCTCTATGCTGCAAGGTCAGAAGACCAGCTGTTGTAAGATTGAATCCACGCGTTGGAGTGAGCTCCGGTCGCTTGTCCCAGCTCCTGCCTACCTAGCAGTTCGAAAGCATGCAAATGTGAGTAGATAAATAGGTACCACTACAGCATGTCTAGTCACGCTGGCCACATGACCATGGAAACTGTCTTTGGACAAACGCTGGCTGTACAGCTTGGAAACGGGGATGAGCACCGCGCCCTAGAGTCAGACACGACTGGACTAAATGTCAAGGGGAACCTTTACCTTTACCTAAATGTCTTTAAATCACTTCACATGTTACAATAGTATGTAATAAAATACATTTGATACTGCCTTTGATCCCATAATGGGTAAGAAAGCTATATGCCTTACCTTCTCCAAGTTATGGCTCTGCTGTAAACAAAGTGAAAAAAGTTAGTTGGCACATTAACCTCTATATACGTTCTGTGCATGCTAACCTTGCACATCATGTGATACAAGAGGTCCTTTACTTTGTTCCTCTATCGCCTGCTGTGGGTGAAGTAGCCTTTTATTTATTTATATTTGTGTTCAGAATTGGGAATGCAAAAGCTGTACCAAAGGATTCACTGTGAAAACATTTTGCTTTTGTTTTTAGCAGAAAAGAACATCCCAAAGAAGCCAACTCGCTTTTCCTGCCTTCTACCCACAACACAAGAATTGATAATGATTAAAAATAAAAAAAAGGTATGGTCTGTTGGTTCTAACACATCTTAGTAAGTAGGCACTCTACATACAGTAGTGGCTCTCAGGTTTACACTAAAAAAAAAACAAAGTTTGTGAAGAGATCAGGTAGACTGAAATTCTCTATGCCAAAGCAAGGAGTGACTTTATTTAGTGTGTGGAAGCACAGTAAGATAAAGAGCCAGGTATATCTGAGGAGGTAGAGAGTAGGCATGGGATTTGGAGAATTTGTGGACTACAGTCCCCAGAAGTCTGCAGGAATTCCCCCAAAGTCCTGACATATATTTTTAAGTTCTTAAAGCTAATGAAATTGGACTCTAGCAGCCATTGTGGAGAAGACATATAAATGGGTAGGCTGGGCTAAGTCTGTGAGAGTTGCAAGGGACCCATAATCCCTTGTAACTCTCACAGAGCTTAGCCCTACCCTCTCCCCCCCGTTTTCTCCATAGAACAAAAATGGCTGCCAGAGTCTAAATTCATTAGCTTAAGAACTTGAAAACGCCTGCCAGAATTTCATGCTACATTCATATATTGCCAGGTGACCCGCAAGTTAATATGTACAAGAGCTATCCTTATGCACAGATTCTCAAGATTTAGCCAAAACCTTTTCCTCCAGAAAGTAATTCAAGAAATGTAAGAGCTTTAGTAATATGTCCACTCACAGTGCTTCTTGGATTTGTCCTACTCCACTGCATATTTGACCCCATGATTTAATAAGGCAGTTAATTCTTTGTGATTTGCTCCTTCAGGAAAATTTCAGTGTTTCAGATTATTCCAGCAGGAACAGCTTTAAAAAACAAACAAACCTCTACCAGTTTATTCTAAATGAACACCTTTCTCTTAGCTCCGTGCGAATGGTCATCTTTTCACAGATCTCTCTCTTTGTGTCTCTAGTTCAAACCTGATTAGCTCTAGAGTATGTTGGGGTTTTTTGTTTAATGCTCTACAGTAATCTTGGAACCTCCTTAATGAGCTGTTCCTTTGGGGATTTGGGCAAGCTTAACTGCTTGGTTAGGTCTAGTTACCTTCTTCTGTCTCCACATTATCCCATCCCATTATACCCATTTTTGTAGTTCAATTTCAGTTACCTTTCTGCTGAATTTGAACAAGTGGAAGAAAGTGAAATTGGTGCAGGAATTATATATATACTATATATAGTATAATTTGGACTTTATTCCTACACCAATAATTAGAACATTGAACACATTTTTTCCTTTTCTGGAGGTCTCAGTTATATGATGTGCTCTTAAAAATTCCAGTGAACAGACATACATATGAGTGACACTTAGGAAAATGCTTGACTTCCACAAAACATTTTTATTCTACTTGAAGAGATTATATATGTAGCTGCATGATGTCTTGTGCTTTAGCTTTTGAACGCTTATAGCTAGTAATGGAAAATTCATGTTGTCATGGCTGAAGTACTTCTCTAAGTTTTTATAGGTGAAACAAAGGAGGATGCTCTGCTGTACATGTCCATAGGAACAGGTGTCACAATCACCAAAGTGTTGCTTCCTGCTAGTGATGGGCAGCAACTGAGAACTGACATTTATTCTGAAGCTTTAGCAAAGTTCAATAAGTGTTTATATTGGATCGCTAGTCACACAGAACCTTTTAGTTAACCCTCTCTTGGGTAACTCCTTATGACATTATCCACTTATATTTATTATTCTGGAGCTCTAGAAGCCCAAGTCTGACAAGTATGAAGAATGGTTAAAATATAAACCCTGTACTTATTTAACAATGTGCTACATCTTCTGGAAGAACATACAGATGAATGTGTTATTTTTCTCCTCTGCTTTCTAGGCTTCATGGTATATGTCATCCAATAGCTTGCTCCCTGCATATTTTTTTTAAAATAGTTCACATGTACTATATCTACTTATATACAGTCATGTGAAAAAAAATTTGCTCTTTGAATTCGATGGTTTTACATATCAGGACATAATAAAAATCAACTGGTCCTTAGCAGGTCTGAAAATTAGACAAATACAATCTCAGATGAACAACAACAGATGACATATTACATTGTGTAATGATTTATTTTACAAAAATAAAGCCAAAATGCCCAGTTTCTGTTTCAAAACCTCCATTGAGAGAAAGTCAGGTCACTCCTTTGTAAACTCTTCATATCTAAAATGCTTCTCCTGATGTTCAACTAAAACGTGCCCTCCTTCAATTTGAAATGCATGAGATCAACACTTCCCACTTAGTTATTAGAAAATAATGCCTTGCCATGTTCTTTGTGATATATTTAAAGAATACTATCATATCTTCTCAGTTTTCTTTTTTCTATGCTAAGCAAACCAAGTTCTTTCTCACTCTTCTTTTAGGTGTTTTTCATACTGTTGGCTGACTTTGTTGCCCTCCTCTGAGCCTTCTTCGGTTTATTGCCATTCTTCTCATAGAGTACAGTGCCCAGATGAATTCTGACTGTCACAGAAATGTGCCTTTTGTGAATTGGGAAGATTTGTTCTGTTAGTGTAATATCCTCAATTTTTGCAGCTGCATCAAACTGCTGACTTGTGTTTAGATTATGATCAACTACAACTCAGTTGCATGAACTCTTCATGCTGCTGCAGAAATTAAAATAGCTTGAGCTGCCACGAGTGTGCCTCCTGTAGCCAGCTACTCCCAGAGGGTGGACTTGGAACTGCGTGGTTGGCTGCCTGACCTGACAATTAATCCTACACAAAGTTTTCTGTAGATCCACCCCAGCTTTCTTTTGGGAATGGATTGAGTGGTGCCAGGGATGACACACTCCAAAACGAAGCATACGAGTTTCCAATGGCAATAGTAGCTTGGCGTTTCATTTCATTCTGGGCAGGTACATTTCCTCGAAGTGACCTGAAATGAACCATGAAACAGCCCAACTTGCGTCTTTTATTTATTTATTTTGCTTTATAGTTTTTTTTGTGCCCATGGGCCAGATAGGCGGGGTATGTATAAATAAATAAATAAATAAACAAACAAACAAACAAACAAACAAACAAACAAATCTCTATCCTTAAGTCTTTTTTCTGTGTTCATGATAGGTAGATTATTGCACTAATCTACTGTTAGGATAATCTCAGAGAGGCAGGATGTCTTAGTTACTTATATTTATTTGCCTTTTTTTTTAAAGCTCTTGATAAGTGGCTCAGAGCTGTTCAATCAAAAGCCAAAGAAAGGGATACAGTTTCTTCAAGAGAAGAATCTGCTGTCTACTCCCATGGATAATAATGAAGTTGCAAAATGGCTGCGGGAAAATCCTAGACTGGACAAGAAAATGATTGGGGAATTTGTAAGTGACCGGAAGAATGTAGACTTGCTTGAAAGTTTTGTCAGGTGAGTAGAACATGTAAGGTCTTATACTGGGTTTTGTTATAAACAGTGACACAATTTGAAGAGTTCTGGCACAGGAAAATAGATTTGACTGTTTCTGCTTATAGAATCATGGGATTGGATGGAATGTTGAAGGTTCTCTAATCCAGCTCCATTCAGTGCAGAATTTACAGTACAAGTTATGGCTATCAGACATTTAAATGTGTTGACTCTACTTAGATACTTCCAGCAAAAAAGAGCTCGCCAACTCCAAATGAGACATTTGGTATGGTTCAGCAGCCAGCTATGGAACTAATAGAAGAATAATTTGGTGCACATTGTGCTGTCTTACCAGCAAGGATGTCAATGATGATGCTGGCAAATGTTTTTCTGAAATCAAGAGAGACAATGTTCATGACATTGATCTGGCATTGTTTATTTCTGATAACTCTATTCTATTTTACAGTAATTAATTTTTTTCAAATTGTTCACAGAATTATCACTTAATATTGCTTTTCAGGCAGGAACCCTATCTTGGCTTGAAATGACAGTGAATAGTGTTTTTTCTTTGTTGCAGTAATTCCAAGCAACTTCAGCTTGCCTACTTTCTACAAGCCTTATTTCTCTACATTGCTTCTGTAGTCCGTAACATAAAATTACTTCAGTGTTGTTGTAAAACACAAACATCTTTCAGTTACGAAGAAAACAGTAAGCATCTGAAGATGCCGGCCATAGAGACTGGCAAAACTTTAGGAAGAAAAACCTTAAGAACACAGCCAAAGAGCTCCGGAAAACCCACAATAACCAACTAATGCTTTTTACTTCACACAATTTTATTCTTAAGAATGGTGTATTCTAGAGATATATTATCTGCCTTTATAGACAGCCCAGAAAACCCACAACAACCATCGGATCCTGGCCGTGAAAGCCTTCGAGAATACATTAAAAAGCATTACTTTGTCTCTAAGCATACTTTAGACATACAGAACAACATTTCTAAAAAGAGCTTATTCAGCTGAGCCAATCAAAGAATCTAAAGAGGAAATTCATCCATAAATATTGTTCTTTGATGCAATGAAGCCTGGATGCTTCAGTGAGTTGCCTCTTGCCTAGATTGTTGGAAGGCTATTCTCAATAGTATTTGTACCCTATGTGTTTTATTTTTAACCAAAATATTACTCATACATGGTCTGTAGAAAGCTAGGATACCTGTTTCCATAGAAAACTTCACATACCTGGCAGGGTCAGTCAAATCTTGGCACAGATATATGTTTTTCTGTTCTATTACGTTTAGTTTTTCTGTGGCTGCTCCTGTGGATCACAAATACAGTATGTGGCTAGGTCAGCGAATGGCTAAACCAGGGGGTGGCTATACCTGCTAATGACTGCAATTCATAATAGCAACAATAGATGGCATTGTTGTATAACATCGTTTTTAAAAATATATGCCCTATCCACAGAAGCACAACAGCACCTTAAACTGAACATCCATTTCACTGTTCTTTTCATTTTACATTATTGATTATACTTTCTTGCAAAAATGGGCACACAGTGAATGAGATCCTCCTGCCATGCTGTCTGTGTTCCCAGACTTGGCTAAGCAACAGCAAATTATTTTCAAAACAACTATATCTTAATATAAATGATTGTTTCAAGAAAGACTTTTGCTTTACTTTCATTTTTATGTATGTTAAAAATACTTCTTTCCTGCACTTTTCTTAATCATTTAAAATACCTTGAACTGACAAGGTTTCAAACCTTGACATGAGAAAATGTAATCAAAGACAAACAGTTTCCTAGTTGTTTAGGTATTGTTGCATGCCCATGATACATTTGATGCTTGAAAAATTCGATTTGTTGAAAAATTCTGGCTTCAGTGCTCCATTATACTAACCAAACTGCCAAATCTACTTTCTCTAGTCTTCTGGAAATACTTTTATTAGAGTCTGACCTTTAAAATGCTTTTGCATTCTATATTGCATGGAATTATGCAAATGAGCAACCACAGACAAGCCTATTTGTAAGGCAACCTGGTTAAAATAAAATAAAAAAACCTATGCTGACTTAGACCAAAGGTTTTGACAAGAGCTGCACAGATTGGCTGAGCATAACAGCATGAATCAAGCATTCTACAGTGCATAATGATGGGTGTAGTTCAGTTAAAGGATTTTAGCCCAGTGCTTTGCATGCTGAAGGTCCCATGTTCAGTCCATAGCATCTCCATGTCGGGCAAGAAAAGAATCCAACCAGAAATCCTGAAGAGCCACAGCCACAATAGTGTGGCAGTACTGGGCTAGATGGAACAGTGGCCTGACATAGTAAAAGGCAACTTCCTATGTTCTTGACTTAATGACATTATTCATAATGGACAGTACTCTCAAAGAAGGAAGCAGAACACCAAAGCCTTGACAAACCCATTTTTTTTCCATAATCTTTCTGGAGGTGAACAAATACAAATGTTATAGAATGTATACCTTTAGCTATTTTAAGCAGTTGTCATGATTTTGCCTCTTTTGTTTTAGGACATTCAGTTTCCATGGCTTACGATTAGATGAAGCCCTGCGACTCTATCTTGAAGCATTCCGGCTGCCAGGAGAGGCCCCTGTGATCCACAGGCTGTTGGAAGTCTTTACAGAACATTGGCGTGTATGTTTCGCAATTGTCATGTAGCTCTCCTTAATTTTTGGCTGTTTACCTCTGACTGGGCTGGTATCAACCAATACATAACTCTAGGTTTACCTCATTTCAGAAGCAGTTAGTCGATGTGGAAATAAATGTCTGGTTTAAGGGCATATTAGTTCCAAATCATAGTGTTATGAGCAAAAGTAGTGTGTATGGGAAAGTTCCACTATATTGCAGTTCGACAGAAGATGACAAAATTGAAAATAAGATAGTGAAAGGCATATTGTTAAGAGTAGCATGAACGTGAATTAGGTACTATATTTGGATGGATTATAATGGGTTTTGCATTGTCTTTTTACTTTTCAGAAATCAAATGGATCTCCATTTGCTAACAGCGATGCTTGTTTTGCTCTGGCCTATGCAGTTATCATGCTGAATACTGACCAGCATAATCATAATGTTCGCAAACAAAATGTACCCATGACTTTAGAGGTGAGATCTGACTTCTTTATATAGCCCCCTACCTTTATGTCTGTACAATAGCCTCCCTGAAGTATGCGTTTCCATTGTTACATCTCAGTCTTCTTTCTGTAATTTCTGTTTGACTTGTAGTATCATAAAATTTAGAGGTAAAATAGCCCTTCAACGCATTTCCATTAGGGTACATTGTCATTGCATTTCAAAATAAAATGGCCAGCAGCATGTGATAATAATTGTTATTGATCTTTTGAGGAGACCATGCAGAATTGAGTTTAAATACTTTTGACGATGCAATACTCAACTTTTGCTCATTGTTACAGGAATTCCGAAAAAACTTGAAAGGTGTAAATGGAGGCAAAGACTTTGAACAGGACATGTTGGAGGATATGTACCATGCCATCAAGTAAGTAAAATTATCAGAGAGCCTTCTAACAGTCTTTAACCCTTCTCCCAAGCTATTCTGAGATTTGTTGCAAACTGATCACTCACAATTCATTAAGTTGTTTTTAGAGTCTACCATAATATGGTGTTGCAGAATATTACAAAGATAACACTTAATGTTTCTGCTGTTGTCTCTCGTAGAAATGAAGAGATTGTGATGCCAGATGAGCAGACAGGCCTAGTAAAGGAAAACTATGTATGGAGTGTGCTATTGCATCGCGGGGCCACTGATGAAGGAATCTTTCTGCATGTCCCACCTGGAAGCTATGACCATGACCTTTTTGCCATGATCTGGGGCCCCACTGTTGCTGCCTTATCCTATGTTTTTGACAAGAGCCTGGATGAAACAATAATCCAGAAGGCTATCTCTGGTTTCAGGTAACACCCATTCAAATTAGCCAGCAGATTTATATATGTCGCCTAAGCTTGTTGTCTAGGGAAGATTTTCTGATACTTTTTAGCAAATGAGATTTTCTGATACTTTTTATGCAGTCTTTGAGCCTAATGAAAACATATCAATGGATACCCTGTTTCCCCAAAAATAAGACCTAACCTGAAAATAATAATAATAATAATATAATTTATTGTCATTTTAAGTATATACATATATACACAGTATACCATACAACGAAATTCACAGACACCCAGAGACCAGACACATGCACACACATAACATTCCCCAAACACTCCCCACCCACTAGAAGTCTCCCACTAAAAATACAAACATCTACACCACAGGCCAAGTAACACAGTCCAACTAATTATTCAGTTTGACTTTGATTTTTGATTTTTTTTATTTTTCAGGATGCTGATAATATAAGCCCTATCCCAAAAATAAGCCCCAGTTAAGTGAACCCCGCCCTCCATCATTGTGCAGCAGTCAGAAGATGACATGACTGTATTTGGATAAATATAGATTTTTATACATAAAAAAAAATAAAACATCCCCTGAAAATAAGCCCTAGTGCATTTTTGGAGCAAAAATTATTATAAGACTCTCTTATTCTGGGGGAAACACAGTAGGTGTTTTTTTTTTTTTAAACCATACCAGGACAGAGAGAGGCTTTCTCCAAGATCTAATCTAAGTCAACAACTGGTGAAATTTCACCGTTCTGATTAAACATGCACACAGTACACATTTTATCACCTATAGGTTGGAAGATAGATTTGAATGACCAAATCTTATGGGGGAAAGAAGGTACAGAAAATTTACTGTGCAGTTCATCTAGTATCTCTCTGGCTTTTTTCCAGAAAATGTGCCATGATTTCTGCCCATTATGGCCTCAGTGATGTTTTTGATAACCTCATAATTTCTCTCTGCAAGTTCACAGCCCTCAGCAGTGAGGTGAGTCTTGAAATGGAGTTATGTTGAGTTCAACCTCTGATCTATTTTAACCAAGTTAAATGCTAACCTTGGCACTTGTATAACATTGTGTCATGGTTAATGCTGAAAAGGCAAGGGGAGAGGATTGGAGTAGTGGAATAGTAGAGGGGGGGTAAAGGGGGGGTTACAGTCCTATCCTACAGTCCACCTCTAGTCCCTTTAACCTTGTTCAGGAAGCTGGGAATGTTACATCTGAATTTACATTAAGCTAGTAGAGTACATTAAGTTAGTAGAACATTAGCTACATCACTAAACTACTTAGCCTTTGACTGGCAATAAAAAATATAAGTTGAATACAGTGAAAGGTTTTATATTTTTAAATGATGTGAAACATGAATCTGTAATGTCTTATCTACTTGTTAGATCCAGTACATGCCATATTGGGGAGGGAGAATGTAAACTGGAGGCAAATGGAGGTCTGTTAAATGAAATCATATCATCTGCTAGTAGATCCCCCTCTTTGGTCGGACTAATAAGCAAGCCTGATGTTGAAGTTACTGTAATCATCAGGCAGTACATTATGACCCACTGAGGATTATTGGAGGTTTCCTTGATAATTTGCCTGATCTTGTGTGGCCAGAGTTTGTTGATGATGAACATTTTCAGGTCTCTGCCAAAAGTCTCTCAGGTCCTAGATTAAGGATCTCGAATCCTGACACTATCACAGTTGTTTCACATATGTGCTAACATTGGGTGACCAGTCATCATGTGAATGAACCATGTTGTTGTTTAGTTGTTTAGTCGTGTTTGACTCTTTGTGACCCCATGGACCAGAGCACGCCACACCATCCTGTCTTTCACTGTCCAACCATTTCGTTCTCTGTCGTCCCCTTCTCCTCTTGCCCTCACACTTTCCCAACATCAGGGTCTTTTCCAGGGAGTCTTCTCTTCTCATGAGATAGCCAAAGTCTTGGAGCCTCAGCTTCAGGATCTGTCCTTCCAATGAGCACTCGGGGTTGATTTCCTTTAGAATTGATAGGTTTGTTCTCTTTGCAGTCCAGGGAACTCTCAAGAGTCTCCTACAGCCCCACAATTCAAAAGCATCAATTCTTCAGTGGTCAGCTTTCTTTATGGTCCAGCTCTCACTTCCATACATCGCTACTGGAAAAACCATAGCTTTGACTGTGCGGACCTTTGTCAGCAAGGTGATGTCTCTGCTTTTTAAGATGCTGTCTAGATTTGTCATCGCTTTCCTCCCAAGAAGCAGCCATTTTTGAATTTTGAGGCTGCAGTGACCATCTGCAGTGATCATGGAGCCCAAGAAAGTGAAGTCTGTCACTGCCTCCATATCTTCCACATCTATTTGCCAGGAGGTGATGGGAGCAGTGGCCATGATCTTAGTTTTTTTGATGTTGAGCTTCAGACTGTTTTTGCACTCTCCTCTTTCACCCTCATTAAGAGGTTCTTTAAGTCCTCCTCACTTTCTGCCATCAGATGACAGAATGAACCATATATCATCATCATCATCTTAGAATCATAGAGTTGGAAGGGACCCTTTGGCTCATCAAGTCCAGCCCTTGTCAAGGAGGCATGGTGGGGAGTTGAACTCCCAAGCTCTGGCTCTGCCGCCAGATACCCAAATGAGTTATCCAGCAGTTTTATGTTTTAATTTTGAAATGATGTAATAAGGCTCAGATATTCAAATTTATTATTGACAATGGTGATTCCTGAAATGAATCAAAGTCTTCATTTGTTTACATTACATGTGTGTGCGGGTGCTCCAGTGCATGTGCAAAGGGGTGGGGGAGTGATCACGCACACGCTGGCACGCACCCACAGACTTCCCCACCGCTTCGCGCCTGTGCCTGAGAGAGCACATGCCTGCACGAGAGAGCGAGAGAGAGCGCTCCTTTGCATGTGTGCATGAGCACGGGGGGGGGTTCCCTGCCTTCCTCAGCCAGTTCGTGGTCCCAAAAAGGTTGGGGACTGCTGCCCTAGACAATCCAACAGTTCAAAAGATAGCTATAAAATGCTGTAACTGATTCTTCCCAACTAGTACACAATTAGTTATCTGTTGTACACTTTTTAAATTACATTTTCTATATTTTAGCCATATAATATGTTTTATGAGCTGGTCACCCCAACCATAATAAATAAATTCATTCGTTTATAAACTATCGCCCAAGAGAATTGTAAGCAGTTAAGAACCTGGTACAAGTAAAGACTCTTCTTTGAAAAGCAATGGAATCAGATCACTTAGAGTTGTATTTAGTGACTGTAATTGCTGCCATCCCCACTCAAGGTAGGGCTGGGTGGGAAGGCCTCCCTAACCATAGGCTCCATGAACTCGAGAGTCTTCTTACTGCTAGAACTGATCTTTGTTTGAGTAGGGAATGGGTACAAGGATCAGTGGGGTGTCCAGTTCTTCCCATCCCAACAGTCCGTAGAAGGGCTTCATTAATGCCATTAGCTCCCCCCCTCCCCTGCCCACTGCTCCTAGTTCTTGCCTGGGTCTAAGTTTCATTGACTGAACCCTCAGTGTTTCCATTCTGGGACTGAGGTTTAGTTTGCAACACTGACCCCAGACAGCTAAGACCCTTTAGGAAGGGCCACTAATTCCTGTAGTTTGTCCAGCCTCTGAACAATCTCCCATAGGTGCTCATTGTGGTGTTTCCTCCACTAGTGGCACATTTGGGTCAGGGTGCAGTTGGTGGACTGGGACTTGGCTGGGTGGCCGTACCATTGTTGCAGGAGTCCATGTTGGGTGACCACTGGCAGTTTTCCCCAGGGTCCTTTACCCTCAGGGAAGCAGACCCACTCTCCTGTCCAGGGGTCCTGTAGCAGCAATAGCTGATCCTCACCAAGGGCACAGAAGACAGGAAGGGGCTCCTCTGAGACTTCTGCCCTGTTCTCCCCCTCTGATTCTGTTGAGGGTGATAAGTCCTCCCTCCATATCTCCTTCTTTAAGTTTGGGCCCCACAAACCTGTCATGGCTTCTGTTCCACACTCCAGGTATGGCCCCTCCACTTCCTTACTCTTACCTGGGGCCCTGGTCTTGCCTTCTATGCTCTCAGGCTGTCTTGCAGTTGGGTCCCTATGTAGTCTGCTGGGGATGCAGTTCTGGCAGATGGCCTGCTGGCAACTGCTGGGGCATCTCCCTCACAGTGACAAACAGTCTGTGAAGCAGACGAACATTTTAAAGAAGCCCTAACAACAAGCCATTCAGGGTTTGGAGATGAGTGGTGAGGGCTTTATGGGCATGTTCTGTCCGAGCCAAAGCTTCTAAATGGTTTTAAAATCAATCTCAAATATCATAGAATCATCGTAGAGTTGGAGGGATGTTGGAGGCCTTCTAGTCCAACCCCCCCACCCAAGGCGGGAGACCCAAATATAACACATAGCAGTGCAGTGTGAAGTTGTCAAAGCATGGATCATCATAGCAAAAACTCACTCACTTCTGTCTTCCTTTTCTCCTACCTTCCATTGAGAACCTGCCTACAGTTTTTGGAAGCAACCCTAAAGCTCACATTGCAGCAAAGACAGTGTTCCACTTGGCTCACCGCCATGGTGATATTTTACGGGAGGGCTGGAAAAACATCATGGAGGCGATGCTACAGCTTTTCAGAGCAGAACTGTTGCCAAAAACTATGGTGGAGGTAAAGAAATTGGAAGAAAGTACCAGGCTGCTTGGGTGACAGTGCACAACATTTGCCATCCCAGACACTTAGATTATAGTAGTTGCTGGGTAGATGATGCATGATGAAAGGCATACATTTGTTGTTCAGAATTCCAAAATTCCAAAAGTCAGCTCCATTTTAAAATAGAACTGACTTTCTAGTTTGGAAATTTCACACCACTGACTTGAATATTAGCTTAAAATATACAAAATATAGTATCTGGTATTTGGAGATATATAACAAGATGAGGGCACATACAGTGGTGCCTCGCTAAGCGATTGCTTCGTTTAACGATGTATTTGCTTAGCAATGGGTTTTTTTGAGGAATTTTCCGCATCGTTTAATGATGTTCTCTATGGGCGATTTTCACTTAACGATGTCCGTTTTCGCTCATTTAAAAGTACCTTAAAATGTTTGAAACCTGTTTTAAATGCTTGGAATCGTTAGTGCACCTTGTGAAACAGTTGCAAACTTAATTTGGCTTTGTTCTGAGTCTTCGTTAATTTTTGGTGAATTTCCCCCCCATTGGAATGCATTGAACTGTCCCAAAGCCCAATGTGAAACACAGAGACCACAGTGGTGGGTTTGTTTGTGTGTTTGTGCCAGATGAAGAGCTCTGGAGAATTCAACAACTTGAACACTGTTATGACTTTTTGATGGTTCTGAATAAAAAAGTATTGCCCAACTGGATTATATAACAGTTGTAAATTCTGGGGGGAAAAGGAATTTAGTTGCCAGGCAGCAAATGCTAGATGCGCAATAGAGACAACACAGACTATTTATCCATATAGATAAAAGTTTTTAAAATTATTGGAGAAGTAATTAAATAAAATGAATAAAGTGCAATCAAGAAGCACACACATCGATTTGAGAAACTGTACGGACTGTCTGTCAGCTTCTGGAGCTAAATTATGCAATGGGTTTGACATTCAGCAACACAGAGACAGCTTGGCACCTAAATTACCAGAGGAGAGAACTCCATGTATTAGCCTGTTCACGTTATAATGAGTGTAATCTGCTAACATAAAGTTACGTCACATGCAGTAAGTCTGATAGCATTATCAGCTGTGACCATATCTTTATAATTAAAAAAATTCTCTCCTCCTCCCAACAAAACCTTTTACGCTCCCTGAATATATCTTTGACCCAGGAGAAGCTTTCAGAACAGTGAGTTGGGGGCATGAAATCATATCAGAACCAGCAGCAGTAATTTTCAGAATTTGAGATTTTCCATCCCTATCCCAATGCTGCCAAAGTCTTCCTTGGGATCAGCAGAATCCTAAGAGGGGCTAGGTACCTCTGTTTGGGGGTGGGGGAGAGGAGACTTTTAATTATTCAAATAATGTTGTAGCTGATGATATCATCTGACTTACATGGCAGAACTATACATTTCTGGATTTCAATCAATATCTTCTGAGAAGTCTCTGTTAATAGTATCCTTTACATATTCTCTTTTCAGCAACCAAGATTGCCTTCTTTGTTCCAGAGTCCCAGTTGTAGAACATGTGGTGCCTTTCTTTATCCTTTTGGTTACAGTTGTTTATCTGGCATTCCAATGAATCAGTCTCTCATCTGTTTAATTGCTTTTTAATGAAGGTATTTTTACGTGTGTAATATTTCATGACATACAAATATTCTGATCTCTATATCTTTGTATACCACCTGGATATTGAAGACACTTTAATATTTTAATGTCTTTTCAAAGTAATCACATATTGCTTTAATTTGCAGGTTGAAGATTTTGTAGATCCCAATGGCAAGATTTTTCTGCAGCGTGAGGAGACACCTTCTAGTCGGTACGTAGTCTGGCTATATGGCAGATGAACAGGGAAAATGTTTTCTTGCTAGATACAAAGCTATTAGTTTTTAGAGAGCATAAGAGGAACCCACAACAGAATGTTGCAGCATAGAATGCTCCTCCTGTTCAGGGTGCCAGGTGGGCACTCGTGCATTTTTCCAAGATACTCCATTACTCGTCCCCCATTTTCTGTCTCCTCGCCCAAGACACCATCACCATTGTATGCCCAACTGAGCTTGCTCAGTCCTCATTGTCTTGTCCCTCTGCTTCTGTATCTCCCTAAAGTTTAATATACTTCTTCATGGCTCAGGTTCCCAAGTCTCCTCATAATTCCTTCTTGCAAATGGATGTGGCTGTCTTAGCTACATGAGCATTTGCAATGACAATGAGTTTACCATTCATATATGAGATACAGGTTCTTTTTGTGTTTCAAAACTGACCACGGGGTAAAACAGAATGCACTGGAACACTCATGGGGTGGGCATGAATATCCTCCAGTGTCCTTCATGTTAAATCTGTGGAATGAAAATTGTAAAATAAAGAAGATGCCATGCAATTAAAAGTGGGGAAGAAAAAACAAAAGTATCAAAATCTTGTAAGGAAGATCCTGAGTTTACACCAAATGAGGAGACTGATGGCCTTGTATACCAAGACCTTTTCTGTACCCTCTAGTAGTTACTCAGGCTGTCAGAATTAGGGTGCTGTAGCAGGTGTGCTCTTTGCAGGGTACAGTACATATGAGAGACTTCCATTAGTGTGGCAACTGACTAGACTACGTTCCCAACTTTTTCCCCCTCCTCATTTTTAAAAACCTAGTTATTCTACCAGGACCAAGTATTCATATGTATGCATATGCATGTCGGCTTTTCTGTATGGCTTTTGAGTGGTTTGTTTTAGAATGCTGGCATTTGCTCTTGTGTTGCTCTTTTTGGTGCAGTGGTCTCACTATGAGCATTGTAATAGCTGTCTCTTGCTCCTCTTTTTCTTGTTTGTTGTCTGGTTTGGATGTCTGCAAATAATTCTACCAGAAATAATTCTGATGCTCCTGTGTAATATCCTCATGCACAAGTTACAGCCATTTCCTTTTCCCTATTTGCGAGAATCATTTTTTTTCTCATGGAGATATGGAAACACACAAATCCTGACATGGTCCAGGATGAGAATCAAGTCAGAATCTTCCCAAAAAGGGGCAGGACAGATTATGCAGCACTAATACATGTGGCCTTATTTGGGTAGGTACTAGGTCAGGGACCAGTGATTATCCCTAATATGATATTTCTGCATTTCTCAATATAACAAAGTTTTTTTCCCTTTTATTTCTTAGTGGTGAGTCTGCAGTGCTAAGTTTTGTTAGTTGGCTGACACTGAGTGGCACAGAGCAGTCTGGTATGAGGGGGCCATCGACAGAGAACCAAGAGGCAAAGAGAGTGGCGCTAGAGTGCATAAAGGTAATTCAGGGGTAGCAAGGGGGAGGTCACATGTCAGAAAGAGGACAGTGAACGCTGAGTGTGTGCCAAAACTATGCATTCTCTTACCAAACATGATATCAATTTTTTATTCACCTGAAATGTTTGTATTATGTCCAGTTTGCTTCTCTCCATGGCAGAATTTATTATTAATTCTATCCTGCTCTCTTCTGGGAGCACAAAGTTGTGTTCTACCTTGACAAACCATACGGATGGGGAGAAGTATTTGAGGTAACTAAGAAAACCATCTCAGTACTATATGCAGTGGACTTCCTCCTATGTTGCTGTCATGTCCCACCTTATTAAGGCATCTTCAGAGAGACAGGAATATTTCATACAGTTAGAAGAGGAATTCACTACTCCAGCTATCAGCATTCTGCTAGAAGCTTAAGGAAGTAGAACAATTGATGGGGAAACCTCCAAGGTTGAAGTAAGGGTGTGACAGATGTGAAGTTCAGTAGTTCATGGGAGAAACTAAGATTGAAAAGATTAGATCAGAAAAATACTGATCATCTCCAGATCACTAATTAGAAACAGCGGGACATGAGGGAAGGACTAGTTGAAGAGTTTTATATTTTCAGTGTTCTGCCAGCGGAGCATTTGTTGGAGGCAATGTGGAAGTTTGCCTCTTGCCTGCTACCTGTACTGTCTGTTAAGATTCTTGGAACCTCTGATGAATGGACCACCAGCAGTCTTGTCTCTGCCTCCTCCCTGTTGTGAAGATGACTGATCTATCAGGCTAAACAAATTACTACAGCCTACACTAACCTCCTACACTTGGAAGAGATCTAGCTTAGCCAACGCATCTCTGACACTTGCTGCCTGTTAGCCTCCACAGTTGGGTGAACAGCCTTCTAGATGGGTAGTGGGATTTCCCTCTGCTTCTCCCTTGCAACCATCCACATGTTTACCAGACCTGCTTCTGGGGGTGGATTGGTTTGCCTTCTATTACAGGTGTGAGTGAGCATAAAAGTGTTTGCAGGGAAGGGGAAAGATGCTGTACCTATGGTGTCTGTTCTGTTGGAGGAAAGACACGGTAGCTTATAAAAACATGTTGATAGCCTCCTTCTTTAAACTAGAGCTAGGGAATCCAAAGATTCTCCAGGCCTGTTTTGACAGAAGCTGTTAACAGGGCTAGGTAGCTGTTGTTTCTTTGTACTGATGGATGAGTACAGTACCTCTGTTTGTGACATAAATATTTCAGCAGCCTCAGGGGAAACTCTCAGATTAATATCCTCCATGGCGGTCCTTGCAGTGGACCATACCATTTCTCATATTTTTGACCCAGATGAAACTCTGTTCAGATTCATAGCAGATAGGAGAAACCAAACAGGAAAATTTGCTCAAGGGAAGATTATGCTTTGTATACCAAATCTGATTAATCTTTCTCAGAATGAAGGAGAAGGAATCCACAGAACTGAGTTGCCATTGGTGAATGACCATAGAGGGAAGATAACGCTCAAAATGGGGAGGGGGAATCACTGGATTTTAGATGTGTGTCTTCACTGCTCTTTCAAAAGGATTTGAGGGTCTTTCAAGACTTCTGAGTCTGAGCATGGCCATGAACTCCCATGGCACTCCAAAGCCAACTATACCAGAGTACAGGTTGCTGTCCTCTGAAGATGCCGGCCACAGAGACTGGCGAAACATCAGGAAGAACAACCTTAAGAACACGGCCAAAGAGCCCGAAAAACCCAGAACAACCATGGCCATGAATGTTTATGCTTTAGTACTGACCTGGGAGAATGTTGATAATCAGATACAATAAGTGTTTTTTTAAAAAATGATACTGATACTTCATTTGTGTATTTACTTTTATTTATGCTTGATATACCTCAACCTGTGAGTTTTTCAAGGTGATGTTCCCTAATTTCTAGCAAAACAGATCCTGTGATTCAAATCTAGGAGGTCACTCCCCTTAGTATATGTTGTGGGATTACTAATTGGTAGGCAATACATTTTGGACATGCTCAGAAGCAGCTGTAAGTTCCAGAAACATTCTCTGGCATTGTTTTTCTCCTAATGCACATCAATATGCATTATCTTTATAGGAATGTGACCCAGAGAAGTTAATCACTGAAAGCAAGTTTTTGCAATTGGAGTCCCTACAGGAACTAATGAAGGTGAGGATGAGTTAGCCTTCCAGGCAGGTTGAATGTATATAGACTGTATGGACATGACCATATCAGTATTGCCTAAAACTTTAGGGAAAGACTGCATATTTTGTTGGCATGCATCATCCACTGGAGACATGGCCAGCAATCAAAATCCATATTGGAGTTATACTTTCTGTTAGGCTAGTTTAAATGTCACAAAATACATAGTACAACTCCTGGGTTCTAGGGAATGATTCATCTGGTGAGATGATGACAAAGCAAACCTGGGAAGATAAGGGAAAATGGATGGTATTCAAGCCACAGGGTCTGCACCTGCTTATGGTCCTGGAAACACTATAGATGGAAAGTAGTCAGAAGTTGCATGCTTTCCTGTTAGACTCTGTACATACTGAAATGGTTTTGGGCTACCTGAAACTGAAGGATTACTGGGAAAAAGAAATAAAACATATTTATTGGTTCCATGTTTTGAAAATGTAGCTATCTAGATTTTGCCTTTTGTTGCAGGAGCCCCTTGAAGTGAGAATGGGTATATGTAGACTTACTGTAGGGAATTTCCAATTCCATTTTTCATATTAGGCTCTAATTTTAGCTGTCTGTTCTCTTGCTGCTTTAGGCTCTCATTTCTGTGACTCCTGATGAGGAGACATATGACGAGGAAGATTGTGCATTCTGTTTGGAGATGCTTCTGAGGATTGTGCTGGAGAACAGGTGAGCCATGCAGATTCTCGTTTGTAGGCATCCCAACTTTTGAGCTGCATATGTGGAATCTTCTGTATTAAGTGGACTGCTTTGTCATGTTTCTCACCCTTCAAGCTGCAGGAGAATAGAAAACATAGGCAGACTTCAGACTTGGCTGTATTAAATGTACCAAATATGGAATGCAGGATGGGATCAAAATGTAATATTAGCAGGAAGACAGAATGCTTTGATGTAAAGGGGCTTACCAACACTACCTCTGGGAAGAGGTAACCCCTGTGCTGAATAGTTTGCTGGGTGATCAGTGAAACATCCATGATCTTTCAAGCAGAAGTGCATTGTCTGACAGGACAACAAAACAATGCAAACAGTGCTGTGGATTTCAGCATATAATATAACCTGGTTTGCAGTCTCAGTTCTTATACCAGATGTTTGGTTCGCAATAGAAGATCTTCTGTTTGACAGCCATAGCCTAGCCTGTTTACTTCAAAAACATCGAGTTAAGTAGGTCATTAAGATAACCCTGGAAATCCACCCTCCTGGATCTTTACAGTCCCAACCATGATACTGTTACTATGGATTGTCACACAACAACATACTTGGGTAGAAGTCTCCCTCTAACAAGTCATCAAAATCTCATCTTCTCATCATTACTCCTATATTTAAAGCAAATACAAATTTTCTTTTAAAAATAAGTCTATAGACATCCTGAAACTTTATCTTTGACTTAGAATTCAGCTATCATTGCAATAGTTGTCATTGCATAGGCTTACCCAGCATTACCTGTTTCCTCTCCACTGCTCCATTTGGAAGGAAACCTGCTAGTGGTGTCGAACTGTGGCCCTCCAGATGTTCTTGGACTTCAACTCCCAGAAGCCTTCACCACCACCTCTGCTGGCCAGGATTTCTGGGAGTTGAAGGCCAAGAACATCTGGAGGGCCACAGTTCGACACCACTGTACACCATCTCCATCACTAACAAGCCTAAACTGCAAACTCCTGGATCTTAGCTGTTATAAAATTCAAATGTGCCACTGAATTTCATACCTTGCCACTACAAGGCACTATCAAAACTACACAACTGAAAGCAATTTGCTGCTTGCCAACAAGGGGGGGCATAGAACCAGCCATCTTTTCTATACAGCAAGAGATTTCTGCTCAGAGTATTTCATCATACCCGTTGGAAAAAGCAAAATAGCTTTTTTTCCCTTTCTTTTTCCTTTCTTTTGGTGGCATTATTATATTCCTCTGGACAGTAACTTAGGCAGAAAAAGCAAGAGGTCTTGAGCTATTATAACTGTGTTTGTCTCTATTTATGCTGCCGTTTTGTCTTGTTTTCTTTTACACACACACACACACACACACACACACTTTCCATTAGGTAAGGGAAGATTATAGGGAAGGGAATTTGGATCAGGGTATTGGGGTAAATAAATAGTACAGAATATGACAGAGAACAGTATGTGTCATTATTACATTTGTCCATATGTTTCTTACTAAGCTTACTTCATACTATCTTACCATTTTTTTCTAAGTTTTTAAAATCTAAAATTATGCCTTATACAGTGGTGCCTCGCTTAACCAGCGCACCGTACAACGACAAAATCGCATAGCGATCCCTTCTTTGGGATCGCTAATGCGATCGCTCAACATTTTTTTAATAGGGCAAAATTCGCTTTGCGAAGACCGGTAAGCGTTTCGCTTACCGATCTTCGCAAAACGAAGCCCGACGATCGCCTGTTCGGCTGTCAAAATGGGCGCCGGAAGCCCGGAAATGGCCCAAAATGGCCACGCGCAGCGTTTTCGCGCCCTCGTTAAGTGAGGGGAGGGCGCGAAAATGGCTGCCGGCCCTTAAGAAGCATTGCTGAACGGTGAGGATTCGGCCCATTTGGAACGCATTAAACCATGTTTAATGCGTTCCAATGGAATTCCCTGCCCCGTTCAACGATGCTTCAGCATAGCGAAGGTTAATCCAGAACGGATTAACCTTCGCTATGCGAGGCACCACTGTATTTTCTTTCTCATAATTTTAACCCGTTCATGTTCTCATCTCTCATTTCTCATCCAATTATATGAGTACAAAAGTTCCCACTTTTTTTCTAGCCTCAGCAGTTTCTTTGTCTTTTAATACTTCAGTTAAAATATCCATCTCTGCTGCTTCAAAATTTTTTTATTAACTCCTGGGTTGTTGGAGTCCCCTCTTTTTTCTTGTATTTGGCATATAAAATTCTTGCTGCTGTAGTTACATGTATGATCAAATATCTTTTTTCCTTTTCTCCTGAGTCTGGTATTCAACAAAAACAATTCAGGTTCATATGGAATTATAGAGGGTAACATTTTTTTGTAAAAACTCATGTATTAGTTTCCAAAAGCTCTTAGCTTCCCTACAAGTCCACCACATATGATAGAAACTACCTTCTTTTGATTTGTATTTCCAACATTTGTTAGCGGTGCTTTGATATATTTTCAATAATTTTTCAGGTGTCATATACAGTCTATAGAACATCTTATACATATTTTCTTTGTAATTAATTGCTTTTGTTGGCTTAAGATTATCATGATCATGGGATATGTGGTTAGAAGCGTGTCATGATGATGGGATATGTAGTCAGAGAAATGTAAAATGGAGTCAGAAACCAGTCAGAAACCACATAATTCCCATGTCACAGTGTAGTTTTATCCAGTGTTTCTCAAACTTTGAATGTCCCTTCTATATTTGCAGCAGGCTTCATTGCCTGTTTAGTGGGTGAATTTTGGTGCTGGACATGGCTGCATAGCACCTAGCAAAGTGCACATAAATTTATGGAGCAGGATCATAGAATGATACAGCTGCAGAACTGGAAGGACCTAAGAGTCATTCAGTTCAGTTCCTTGCTGAAGCAGGAAATCCATAACTAAGGGATGAAGCACATAGGACTCTTGCCTGGTTGCAGTCATATAAGTGCTGACCTGATGACCTGAAGGACACAGAGAAGCCCCATTCATAATTCTCATGTTGAAATCTGAGCAGGTGCTCTTTAGGAGATTTTTATACCAAGATCCCAGTTCTCATGACCCCTCTTACACACTGTCCCTCTCTACACACAGGCACATATAAACACTTTACTCTTAGATAGTTCCGCCACATGATTTTAAAAAGTGAGGCACAAGCCATTAAAAACAAAGTTTGGGATTCAGCAAGTTACAAGGCAAGTTAGTGAAGGCAAGAGAAAACCAGGGATTCATTTGTGCAATTCCTATTTAGTACTAATTTGAATCTGATCAATGGCTTTAAGTGACTTCTGCGTTATCTCTTGTATTTCTAATGTGTGAGGAAAATTTTAAATATAAGATGACCTACGCATTCCAGTTGGTTTGTAAGCCATCTGAAGCTGTGTTTGCACATATCTTTTTGTCACTATGTCCTTTCTCTGTCTTTTTCTAGGGACCGTGTAACCTTTGTGTGGCAGGCAGTGAGAGATCACCTCTACCACTTGTGTGTTAATGGCACTGAATATTGCTTCCTAATGGAGAGGGCAGTGGTGGGGCTGTTGCGTCTAGCAATCCGCCTGCTAAGAAGGGAAGAAATCAGTGCCCAGGTAAAGATTGTTGCAGGCATCTGTGTTCTTGTACAAGTGGCTGTTCTCATGCCTTTCTTCTCCTAGTTTGCTGGTATGAGTAGCCATTTGAATACACATTATTCCTGTTCCAAAATTCACAGAAAAATACCAAACATTTTGGACCCTAACCTGCACTGTTCACACCCAAGAGGTAGCAGCAGACTGAGAAGATATACAGAACTAGGAAGATGTTTCTGAAAAAGAGGCTTTTCCCAAGTAGAAGTAGGCAAGAATATCACCCTTACCCCCAATGGCATCAGCTGTAGCTTGCTGAAAGGGCTTGAAGTTCCAGTACCAAATGGTAGCTCAGGAAAAATACTCCCCCCCCTTCGTTTTTATGTGTAATAAGGCAGCAAGAAGAGGCAGCTTCAGATAATGTTCTGTGCTGTGGCTACGGACAGCAGTCTTCAGAATGCCACCTTCTCTTCACTCCTCTCTCTTCCTCAAAAGATATGGAGTGAAGCTGGATAGCAGTAGTCAGAGCCTTTCTTCTAGTCTTAGTGTTCAGAAGAGTGCAAGAATGACTGCTAGGACCTTCTCCTCATCCCACCTATAGTTCAAAGTTGGCAGAATTTTTTTTGAGTGGGTAGCTATATTAGTTGGTTAGAGCAAAGTAACAGACTTTTGGGGCAGCTTAACAGCTAACAGGTTTTGTTTAGCATAAGGGGTGTGCTGCAAGCAGAATGAATGGTAACAGTTTAGCTTTCTGGTACTTGTCAATGATTTTCTGTAGGTGTTGCTCTCTCTGCGTATTCTGCTCATGATGAAACCTGGCATGCTGAATAAGGCCAGTCACCAGATTGCATATGGACTACATGAGCTTCTCAAGACCAATGCTGCCAACATCCATTCTGGCGATGACTGGTACACACTCTTTACCCTCCTGGAATGCATTGGCTCAGGGGTGAGACCACCCCCAGCACTTCAGGGTACAGCAAGAGCAGAGAATGACACAGGTATGACTGGTCATTGGCAATGGGTTGTTTTGTTAGGAAATCTGGTAAGAACTTAAATTTGGTAAGAGGTTGTTGCTACTAGCTGCTTGCTTACCGAAAGAGAATGCAGAAAAACAATGTTTAATTTCACGTGCTGTCAGTTATATTGCTGAAGTTCAAAATCTGTGCTGTTTTGTTCCTATCGATAAAGTCTAGCAGTTCTATAAAACTGGCAGTCATAAAGCACCATCAAAAAAGGGGAATCAATTTTTTAAAAGAATCAAAAATGGGAAAGAGCTTGCACTGCTGTAGCAGTCCAGTATTTGTTTGCAGGTCTATGAAAACATTGTCTGCATCAGAGCTTTACACCAAAACTGCCAATTCCCTAACTGTAGATTTGAGAGAACTCTATTGTGCTGTTAAGTATCAACAGTCAGAAAATATGTATAATATATTTAACTAGTATTTTAGAATCATTATCTTTGCTTTTTAGGTTGTTGATAGATGATCTGGAATGAGGCATGAACAGTAAGATGTCCAGGTTTTGCATCTGACATAAAACACTTACGTGGGTTAAAACAAAAATTAATGGCAAATGCCATTCACGTTAAATAAGTGCAAGGCTATCACATTGAGGCTAAAGATCTTCACATATGTGCTGGCGAGGCTGAGCTAGTGATAACTGACCAGGAAAGAGATGACAGGGTATGGTAGAGAGCTCAGCAATCTCCCTGGGTCCTGTGGGTCTATTTCCATGTTGGTGATCATTACTGAGGGCATTGAAAGTGAATCTATCAACATCATAATGCCTTTATACAAATCTACAGCGTGATTGTATTTTGAATGCTATGTACAATTTTAGTCATTGCAGCTCCAAAAATATATATAATGAGAACTGGAAAAACGGTACATAAATGTGGCCAAAGTGATCAAGAGGTTCAAACAACTCCCCTGTAGGCAAAGGTTCTAACATTTGGGGCTGCTAGCTTAGAAGAAAAGTAAGCTATTACCTAACAGAAATGTATATAATTGTGCATAATCTAAAGAAAGTAGATAGGATTATTTTTTTCCTTCCTGGTAACATTAGAACATGTGATCATCCAATGATGAGAACTAAAAAGACTTCACATAATATTATGAGCTGTGGATAAAATGTAGTAATGGCCATCAATGTCAATGGCTTTAAAGTACAGTGGTGCCTTGACTTACGAATGCCCTGATGTATGAACATTTCGACTTACGAACAGCTCCGTTTGCAAAATTTTGCTTTGACTTGCGAACGGAGCTTTGACTTAAGAACAAAAATAACCGCGGGGAAAGCGGGAAATGGACTTTGGACTGCCTGGTACTGTCTGGTACTGCCTGTTACTGTAATTTTAAAATGTAAAAACTGGTTTTAAAGTGCTTGGTTTGGTTTAAAGCTGCTTAGTTTTAAAGGTGTTCTGTTTAAAAGATGTTCATTCCCTCCCTCCCTCCTTTCCTGCCCTTTTTTTTAACATGTCATTTTAGGTTAAAAAAAATTCTCCCCCTAGTGGTAGAGGATGGATTAACCAGTTTTGCATTAGTTCCTATGGGAACTAATACTTTGACTTACAAATGGTGGCTCTACATACAAAGAAAAAACAGCCAAAACGGATTAATCAGTTTTCAGTGCAATCCTATGGGAAAAGCTGATTTGACTTACGAACTTTTCGATTTACGAACATCTTCTGGGACGGGTTAAGTTCGTAAGTCGAGGCACCAATGTAATCCTCCAAATTTAGGCTTGAGACGGGAGTCTGGTTAGCTACTGTAAGAACAAAACATTAATCTGGAAAGGGCTTTGGTCTGATCCAACAAAGGTTTTCTTACATTCTTAATGATTTGATGAAAGGTTATTAGTCTTCTAAATGAATATATACAGTAAATCATTGCTTGATGCTAGCCACAAGGAATACATTTTGCAAGTACCGAAAAACTTCAGTGACTTCGTTTTTTATGTAGGTACCATGCAAAATGCTGGGTTTAACCTGTAAAGCCCTTAATAGTTTAAAAACAGGATATCTGCAGGAATGTCTATGTTTGTACAAACTTACCTTAATCATAATTGGTATACAGGAATCTTTTACTCGTGTGATTGATGAACTGTTGCCTGTAATAACACCAGATGCATTAACAGTGTCTATAGAATTATTGCTGCAGACTCCTCATCTTTATTTTTGATTCTTACTGTAATGCACATAATTCCGAGTTATGGATGAGGACAGGCAAATTGTGAATCATGCTGTAATTTAATTAATATGTATTCCTTTATATATATATCTCAACATGTTAATATAATCAGTCAATTTAAAAATGTAGTAAGGAATACATGACAAAACACTAATTACTCAGCCCCAAATTACCATTGGCCATATCCTGCATCAGGTGACAGGCAAGTCAATCTACTTCTGGGACAGTTATTCCATTCTGCCAGTTCTTTCGCTTGCATATTCTCTTTCTCTCTACTTTATGATGTCTTTTCTGTGTGTTTTTCCCCTCTCTTTTCCTTCTTGTTACGTCTTCAGCTTCCTTCCAGATATTACACACTCAGTATTTTACCACCTTCTTTCTCAAAGCCCTGTGACCCTTTCTTCACAGGACCAGGCACTGAAGTTAAAAAAGAATAATTATAAGAGCTATACATCAATCAAAGAGATTCATTTCAGTGTGACTCTTCATAGATTATAATGTACTTTCTCACATGGAGCTTAATATTTAGGTCACAGGTTTAGGTACACAGTGTACAGTTGTGGGAGGTGGAGATTGTATAGATTGAGCATAGGAGATGACAGCAGCATTAATAACACTAGTACTGTAATAAGCCAGCAAAGTGGCCTTGGCATTATTAATGTAGGAATAAACTTTTTAAATCAATTCTTTTAAAGTTGATGATCCTACATGTTAAATTTACAAGATCTCTGAGCCAGGTTTCTTCTCTTGCTTCAGTGTGTTTGAAATTATTTAAATTAATATTTAAGCTGTGGAACTAACTCTCTGGCATCTATTTTTCTGATGTTTCCATGGCTGAAATCACATTACATAACAATATGCAACAAGAGTAGTTCATTTGAATCAATGGAAATTACAAAGTGTTGAATCACTAGATTCCCAGTGATTCAGTGAGCCTACTCTAGTTCAATTTACTACCCTAAACCACTGGTTCTTAACCTTGGGTTACTCAGGAGTTTTGGACTGTAACTCCCAGAAGCCTTCACCACCAGCTATCCTGACTGGGGTTTCTGGGAGTTGCAGTTCAAAAGCATCCGAGTAACAAAAGTTAAGAACCACTGCCCTAAACAACAGGATTTTAGCTGGTGTCTCAGTTTGTACAGGAGAAAAGAGAATGTTGCTGAAATGTAGTTTTGTTTTGACTTTTTACATGACAAAAGATGAAAGTGAAAATATATATTGCCTCCTACGCAGTAGCTGCTTGCGTGGCTGTTTGCTTGCATAAGAATAAGTTTGCTCTTGTAATTTTGCCTCACTCCATTTTATTTATTTATTAAAGGGGCTCAGTCAGACAGTGAGATATCCTGTCACCCAAATGAAGCCAGCTTAGATCGTGGCTATACCTCTGATTCAGAGGTATATGCGGATCATAGCAAGCAAGGCAAAATGCATCGTTCTGTCACTGACGTGGATGTAGTAAACAGCGGCTGGCTTGTGGTAAGTGATATTAAGGGCTTTCACCTGCTTTATGAGGAAGAAGGTTGTTAACAATCTGGTGATTCATAGGATCGCCAGAAGTTAGAGGCAACTTGATGGCACATAACAATTGCAGATTGACACAACAGGCAGTAGACAAATAATTTTCCTGGCAGCAAGTACCATGTTTTGCCCACAGTTAACCAGCTACTACATGTTTGGGAATTTTACTCCACGTACCTCTGAAACAGAGGTAAATTAGAATATGAAGATGTGGCTTCTGGAATGGGTGGGTAAGCGCTTCATCTGTGTAAGAGATTTGCTTGGAAATACTTGGAAGTCTAGCTGCTTTCCCCAAATAAGACAGGTTTGGGCTCTTTCCCAAGACAAAGCTAACCCACAGATTCCACATACCGTCCACATTTCTCTTCCTCTCTACTTACTAAGCTGATGTGGTAGCATCAAGCTGCAGGAAGCAGAGGAAGGAAAGTTTTCTTGTCTACTTGTGCTTCCCTAATGACAAACCCAGTAAGCTTCCAAATATCAAAGCAGACCACTGATCTGTGTGGCTATGTATTGCCTTTACTGAATGGCAGCAGTCCTCTAGCATTTCAGACAAAAATATTTTCCAGTAGATGACAGGGATTGGATCTGGGACTTCTCCTAACCCTTAAACTACAGTCTCTCTCTGTAAGCCATGGCTAGGTATGAAGTGTTAGGGAGGAAGGTCACTCCCCAGTTTTGATATCCGGTGTGGTTTTCTACAGTGTTTAAAGCCACCGTTTGTTTGCTTTTTTGTTTACTATTTGTAGAATATTTATCTCACCCTAATTTTCTTAGAGTCTCAGCCATAATATTACTAAAAATACCATAAGTATAAGATTGTTATCAGTGACCTCAAGATCTGAGTTAAGTATATTGTAAGAGGAGGGGAATCTTTCATGTGACCAGGGCTCAAGCTGTTTAGCACTTTAAATATTACGAGGGAACTATTAATTGGTCCTGTAAACAGCTCAGTGAAAGCTAGTACATCCAGTAAAGCACAGGGACAGTAAACTTAAATTACTTAAAGACATGGCTGCTTGCCATTTTTGAGAAAGAGCAGATGGGTGAAACCCTCTTTTCTGCTGCTAGCATACAGACAGATGAACCTGTAGGATTCTCTCTAGATCCTGTCAAAATAGGTTTTCAGTCTCTGGCTTCCTGTCAGTTGAACCAAGGGAAGTGGCCCAGTGCCAGTTGTAGTGATCTGTCTGTATATGAAAAGAAAGCCATTCTAAGAAAGGATTAATCCTAAGCCCTGGAACAGTGTATAGTGTTTTATTAAGAAGTCAGCATGGGGAACATCGTGCCTTCTAAAGGCTGTAACAAGAGAAGAAAGATACTCTGTGTAATTTCAATTTTTTTCTGTTTCACAGGTTGGAAAGGATGACCTTGACAATCCAAAGACCATGACTGGACTGCCCAGACTTGGCAGTTCTCCCCTGGTGAATCAGTATAGTCTGACTGTGGGGATGGACCTGGGGCCACACAATACCAAATCTCTCATGAAGTGTGTGGAGTCCTTGTCTTTCATTGTACGAGATGCTGCCCATGTCACACCTGAGAACTTTGAGCTCTGTGTCAAAACTATCCGCATCTTTGTAGAGGCCAGTTTAAACGGAGGTGAGGCCAAATCTCATCTGTTAGCTGTTATGCTCTGGGGGAACTCTTGCATTATAACAACAGCAAAGGGGAGATTTACACTCCTTAGGTTACTTTAAGACAAATGAGCTATACTAGCCTTCTAGATAACACCCCTCTGTACAGCTTGTATGCCTTCATGTACCTGTGTCTTCTGGGTGGTATCACTGTATAGTAGCTTTTTATTGATAAACACTAAAAGCCATCTGTCTGGGAATATCCACCAATATTTTGCTGTTTAATTATCTTTCATCTTTACTAGTCTAGAACAACTTTATTTATGAGAAATTGCATTGTGTTTTTTCCTGATTGTTTTATTTTATTCATTCATTCTGCACTGTGCTTTGCAGAATTTACTGGTAGCCTGTGTGAAAGTACAAGCATAATATCCAAGCACTGATTTCTCAACCTTTGACACAATAAATACCTTTGGGGTCACTTTCTGAAAGCTCTTGACTGAAGATCTTCCATTTTAGGGTGCAACTACACAATGGCCGGGGAGGAAGGCAGGCGGGCAGGCAGGCAGTCGGTCTATATGGAGGGAGGGAAGCACAGCCTGCCATGCCTGAGCGGCCAGA